GAATTCCGTGATACCTCGAGTGAATCTGGAAGTGTCTTGGTTCCACTGATATTCGTGTTTAAAGGAGGTTGGTCGTGCCGGTGTTCTTGAGAGGTCTTAGCTAGCATTCCAAGCTAGCTCTGTTCCTTCGATTCCCGATTGTACGATAACCGGCAACCCGTTTAATGCATAATGACATGCAAAATGACGAGCGATTCTTGCTCTATAAGATGAGATTTTGTCTATAATTAATATACTACTTATTGGCTTATATAATCGGGAGAGTATATTATAGCTGCTTTATTTATAGTAGGAACACCGTTCCTTACACCCTAGTAAATAGATTTATAGTAAGAGATAAAGTATAGCTAGACCTCCGTAACTATAGGTCGGTATAACTAAAGAAGAAGCTTAACTAGCTATATATAAAGTTTATAGTATAAAGGGTTATTAGCCTATAGGTTATAGAGCTTAATAGTCTCTTAATAGGGGTCTATAATAAGATTAATATAGACCTCCTTTATAGAGCCTCCTTTAACCCGCTACTTAAATAAGAAGTAGCGGACGCTTAACCGCCTATAATTAAGGTAGAGGAAGAGGACGAGTTTAAGGTTAAAGAGATATAGGCCGCGCGCTAGAAAAAGGTCGGTAAGGGGAAACGCTAGAAGGTCCTTATTAAGTAGCGCGGGTATCTTAACCTTACGTAGGAACCTATACGTAAGTTTATAAGAACTATAGCCATCGATAAGTTTAAAGCTTTATTTAGAATAGTAAATAAGAACAATAGACTAATAAACTATTAATAGTAGCCCGGGCTAGGACTATAAAGTAAGTAAAGCGGAGTAGGTAGTTATAATAACGTAAGCGTAATTATATAAGTAAAGATAAAAATAGCGTTTATTTTAAGGCAGAGCCCTTAGACTACTTAGACCTACTCCTTATCCTTATTATCGTCCTTATCCTTATCCTTATCGTCCTCCTTTACCTTATTAGCGGCGGCGGCGCTCTCTAGGGCGCTTAGGCGGCCCTCTAGGCCCGCGAGCTAGTCGGCGGTAGCGGCGGCTCCGGGGGCTCCGGGGGCAAGGGGGGCCCGGCCGGTAGCAGCGGCAAGGGCGGCGGCGGGCACGGCTAAGGGGACCGCCGATAAGGCGACGGAGGTAGTATCCCTAGTGCCGGGAGAGTTAGTAGCGGAAGTAAAAGAGCTAGATAAGAGGAACTTACTTAGGGACGAGGCCCTAGCGCTCGAGGGCGCGGAGATTATAGTAGGCGGCGGCGGCGGCGGTAAGGCGCTTCTTAGTAGCCCCCTATACCTACCCGTACGCGCCGGCCTTCTAAGCCGACGCCGTAGCGAGTAGGACGGGAGGCGCCGCCTTATAAGCGCGGCCGGCACGCGCGTATTAGTAATAACTGCCGCTATAGCGGCGCCCGACTTAGTCGGCGTAGGGGAGCTCCTACGACGCGTACCGTATATAGGGGGCCACGTAGGCGGCTCCGGCCTATACTTAGCGTTTATACTTTAAGAAGTTAGCGGAAAATAGCTACTATGCTCGCTAGGTAGCGGACTTACGGGGGTAGTAGTAGCGGAGGCGGGGGTAGAGGGGCCGGGCGTTACGGCCGGCGGTAGGGACGGCGTCGTTACCCGGAAGGGCGACGTAAGGGCGGCTAGCGTAGTAGAGGTAGAGGCGGCGGCGGTAGGCGCGGTCGTAGGGGCGCGGGTAAGAGCAGCGGTAGCGGCGGAGCCGTCGTCGGCCGTGCTTAGTATAGCGTCGACGAACGACTCTATATACTCTAAGAAGGAGGAAGTAGGGGAGGGGGAGGTAGATATATCTATCGCGGAAGTTAGTATTATAGATTATAGCCTCCTACTCTATAGGGCGGAAAACTTATTAGTTAAAGTTATTATTATTAGGGCTATTATTACTACTATAGCTATTACTATAAGTATACGTTAATAAGGCGGCCTATATAGCTAGGAACGAACTAACGCCTTAGGTAGAGCGGAACTTACTTATTACTACTATTACTATAGTTAAAGAAGGAGGAGAAGGAAAGGAAGAAAGAAAAAGGGGATGCCGCCTTATATACCCTTAAGTAAAGGAGGCTGCCTAAGGCTAAGGGGATAGGCAACCTAAGGCTTACGTAGGTCTAGGCTAGCCGCCGGCTACCTAGGGGCGTATATAATAGGTTACGCCCCTATTTAAACGGCTAGCTAGCCGATAAGTATAGAGCCCGGTTCCGGCTACCTAGGCTAATAAGCGCGGGGATAATAGGGCTAGTAGGGCTAGTACGATTAACGGAAAAGGGTAGGGTAGAGCTAGCGGCACGGGCCCTATAGTATAGAAGCTATTAATAGGGCAACGCCGCGCCGCGCTTAAGGGAGGGCATTATATAAGAGTCTTTAACTATTATAGGTTATAGGCTTAGGCTATAGCCTAAGCCGTATAGTTATATATAGAGGGCTAGATCCTATATATATATATATAGGCTAGCCGCGTATAAGAGAGCTTTATATAGCTTATTAATATTATTCTATAGATAGTACCTATATATACGCCTCTACCTACTCTATAATAGTTACCTTATAAAGTAAGCCTATAACCTAGCTATATAGGATAACCTTACTAACTTAGGCTCTAACTTAAGGGCCTTAAGCTATATAAGGCTATATATATAGCTCTTCCGCTTTCTTAAAGGCTTAGTAGCTTTTATAAGACCTTATTATAACTTAGAATAAAGGAAAGCTAGCTAAGAGCCCTTATAGGCCTTAGAGCTAAAGGCCTCTATTATAATAATAAAGGTCCTTAAGCCCTTAGCTAAGAAGTAGTACTAATGCTTCTTAGCTAGCCTAGCTAGCCTAGAAGACTTTAAGTTACGGCCCTTAGCTTTTTATACTAATAGCTCTAAGGGGTGCTTTAAGGGGTCCCTTATAAAGACTAATGCTTACTCTTCTATAAAATAGGCCTAGAAAATAGGCCTATTAAGGTATACTATAAGAACCTAGGGCCCTTAATTAAAGTAGCTAATATAGAGCTATTCGCGATACTAAGGGTCCTAGAAGACCTAGCTAGGAGGCCTCGGCCCTTAAGGCTTAGCCCCCTTAACCCCTTTATAAATACCTATATCTTTATAGATAGCTAAGCCGTTATAAGGAAGGTTATAGGTTTCTTAGACCTAGCTATATATATTAAAAGGCTCTTATTTAGCTTAGAAGCCTTTTATAACGTATAGCTATACTAGTGCCCTAGCTACCTAAGGATCTTTAGTAATAAGCTAGCTAACTAGCTAGCTAAAAAAAGCTTAGGGGCCCCTACCTAAGGGACCCCCTTAGTCTTTATTAGCTACTTATAAAGAAAGGTCTAGTAAGCTACTAAGGATTATTAAAAGGGACTCTAGGCTACTAAGGCAGCTAAAGGCCCTAGGGCTAAGGGCCTAGGTAAGCACTATATATCTATTTAAAAGACCCCCCGCCTAGCCCTTAGCTTAGAAAAGGACCTTATAGGGAGGCATTAGCTAACCCTCTCGGCCTTTTACTAGCTCCTTTTTAGGGCTAGCCTCCTATTTTCCTTCTTAAAAAAGACTAATAAGGTAGACCGAGATAACTACCGCTACGGCTAAGGAAGGTATACGGCTAGGCACCTTATCCTAAGGTGCCCGAACTATAGGAGGGAAAGAGAGGTCTTTTACCGGACCTTTAAGAGATAGAAGGGGGCCCTTAGCCTACTTATTCTCTATAGCTCTAAGGAAGGAAGGGAAGCCCTTTTAACCTTCTTAGCTAAAATAGAGATATAGATAGCTACGTAGCTTAAAAAGGAATAACCTAGGGGCCCTAGGGCCCTTAAGGGAGAAATTTACCGCGTAGGAGGAACTAAACTAACCTTTCCTTTATTATTACCTTTATAGCTACCCTTTCCCTAATTAGTTATAAGCCTCTAGGCTCTATAGCTAGCTAGGACTACTAATAAGGGCCTAGGCCCTTACTAGCCTCGCTATAGCGCTAGAGGCTATATACGAGTAATAATATTAAAAAAAAGACTTAAGGGGAGAGGAAATAAAAAGCTTCTCTTTATATCTTCTCCCTTAGGCCCTAGCTTTTACCTTTTTATATACTATTCTTTTTACCTAGCCCTATAATAGCTATATCCCTAATAAGAGGGGTTAATAATAATAGCCTTTAACTACTAAGTTAAGCGGTAAGAGTAGGTTATATAACCTTAATTAACTAATATTTAAACCCTCCTAAGATAAGAGGGGGCGGCTAGTATAACGTACCTATATAATATAAAGTACTAGCCGCTAAATAAACTTCCCTTCTACTATATTTACCTTCCCTTTCTATAGGATATAATTAAGATCCTCCCTTATTTTAAGATATCCTCCTTAAATAAATAATAAAGCAGCTAAATTTAATATTAAAATAGCCTTATATTTATTAAACTAAACGCTCCTCTACCTATTACCCTACTATCTAAAAGCTAAGGTAGTAAGGGGGTATATTAAGGAGAGTAGGTATAAGAGGCTATAGTTATACTTAGTAGACCTAATAGTTATATATAAGGAAGCCTACCTAACTAATATAACTCCCTTAGCCTAAGGATATTATATAGGCTTAACTTAGGTATAGGAATATCTTAATGCCCTCTTTTAGCTAGCTATATATAGTCACTATACCTATATAAGCCCCTCCCTTATCCTAATAGATAGACTAAGATATATATTACTAAATTCACCTTTCTATGCCCCTATTTCTTCCACTATGCTCTCAAGCCCCTGCTTGAGAGTATCTGTCCTTGTTGCACCAACATGAACACTTTAGAGACCCCAGTCCATCGCGCTCGGTCCGTACGACTCCATGTCATAAAGATAGTAGATTTCATGCTTTGTTCTTAGATATAACAGTATTGAGCGTGGGCAAGCACGGCGATACAATTCACCAGAAAGGCAAATGCCGGCCAGACACAATATGAACATGCCCCACGCCGTAGAACACAAGGGCGGCGAATAACAACGCGAAGCTGATCGTACTAAAGCCCCATGCGAATGTCCTCGTCGCCCTTCTCCGGACCGTCAACTTCTTTGACCGACTCTTGGTTCAACGCGCCGTCAGGATCAGCATCATTTCCGACACTCGGCGGCAGGTCCTCCTGCGCAGTGCCCCAGATACTCTCCTTCCGGCCGAGGGTGAGCACAAGCTCCTTGCCTTCGGTGAAGAACGAGTGGTCAATCCAGTTCTTGGTATACAGCTTGCCGTTGAGTGTGGCGCTTTGAATGTAAATATTTTTGTACGTGGGATCAAAGTTCGCATTGCGTATTGTCGCCGTCTTGCCCGTCACAGGGCTGGTGATGCGGATGCTTTGAAAGAACGGCGGAGTGATAAGGTAGACATTCTGCCCGGGATTGGGGAACAATCCCAGCATAGAAAAGGCCAAAAAAGATCCCATGGCTCCGCTGTCATCGTTTCCGGGTAACCCAGGCGGCGTCGGGGCGAAGAACTTTGGGATGTAGAAATGGCTGCGCAGTGCTGAGAGTGCCGGGCGGCCAGCGTAGTGGTATTGGAAGACGGTAAGAAACGCAGGTTCGTTGCCTATATATGTAATTCCATTGTCGTGAATATAATTCAGTCGGCGGACGAATGCATCCGCTCCTCCGTAGAGACTGATCAACTCGGCTTGAGCGTGCGGTACGAAACTGTAGTCCAGCGGGGACGTGTCAGCCTGGCCAGATCGTCGGAAGGACCTCGACCCTCGTTCCCCATGCCAGCATAAATTCTGTACTCACAAGCCATACTCCCAGATGCTGCTTTCAAACGTCTCCCCCGCGGTCGCCTGTAGCGAACAAGCCTCGCCTTGCTCAATGTTGGAGCAAAGGAGGGGCCTCTGCGAGGCCCAAGTCTGATTGAGGTATTTTGGTTGGAAATATCCCGTGAAGCCAGTATCCGTACCGTTAAGGAAATAAGAAGGCTGGTCATTCTTGTACAGGTTTCTCCATTTGCCGCTGGAGGAGACGAATTTCTCATGGTCTCCCTGGTGGCCCAGGCCGGCAGCAAGCCGCGAGACGCAGAAATCGTTGTACGCGTACTCCAGTGTGCGACTGACACTTCGTGTCATGGTTCCGAAGCCCTTGTAGTCGAAGTCCTCGACGGGAATGTAGCCCAGCTCGTTCCAGGAGTCGAGTCCTCCGCGACCCTGGCAGCACCAGTCGTAGGGCTCGACCTCGGCGTCCTTCTTGACCGCCTCGTAGCCCTTTTTCCAGTCAACTTTTTCCTTGATACCCTTTTGATACACGTCTGCCAGAACGTTATCGGCATTCGACCCTCCCTGGGTGTATCCCTTGTTCAGACTCATGCGGCAGTCTGGCAGCCAGCCCTCATGCTCGTACGTCGAGATCAGCGAGCGCACCATTTGCGCCACGGCGTCGGGATCAATCACTGTCAGGAAAGGAATTGCGGACCTGAATAAGTCCCACATGCAGTAAAACGAGTCAAAGTACGGCTCGCCGTCGTGCCACAGGGGATTCTCGCCAGTGTAGTTTTGCGGGCTGATCATTGTCCGGTAAATGCCCGAGTAAAGGCTTCTCAGAAACGACTCGTCAACCCCTTTGGCGTCGACGACAACGGGCGAGAGCTTGTGGCGCCATGAATCTGTTGCAGCCTGGGTGTATCTGTCAAAATCGGCAAGGCCCGGCATCTCCGTTTCGGCGCTGGAGCAGGCCTGCTCACTGCTGATGAAGCTAACGCCGACTCTTGCATAAATGGGCTGCTCTCCGCTGGCAAACCGAACAAAGACGCCGCCGGGTAGGGGGTATCCGTTGATGGACCGCGAGATCTTGAGCTCTTTGACCTTTGAGCTTGCCCGGCTGTTGACAAAGATGCCGCTGTCGGCAACATCAGCGCCGGCAAAGTCTGTGCAAAAGTACAGCTGGTATTTTCCCTGCCCAAAGCTGGGAACAAACACAGAGTCACCTGTTATGCGACTGCCATCGACACGGATGGTGGCGTTGTCCTGGCGTGAGTCGGACAAGTCTGTCAAATCTTGGAGTATGAGCGGCTTGTCTTCGGGTGAAGTGTTCTGGAACGTGAAGCGGAACAAGGCAGCATGCGCCGACGTCGTCATCTCGACTCTCACCCCGCCGTCCAAGGTGATGTCGAAATATCCTGGTCGCGCGTGGACGCTGTCAGGGGCATACGATCCGAAGCGCGCGCGAGCCTTCTTGGGGAATACACATCGGTTGACATCATCCCCTGGGCACGAGTTGTACGCAAACAGGGGGAAGTTCCCCAGAGAAGGTGAACCTCCGGTGCCCGAATCGTGCATGACACTGAAGCCCGTCACTGGAGCGCCGTCGAGGGTAAAGCCACCCTGGTTACTGCCGCTGTTGGTGTCGGCCACGGCCTTGGCCATGCCGTAGGGTAGAGTTGCCCCAGCGAAGACATTGCCCCCATTTGCGGCGCCCACAAGAGGGTCAACATATTTCAGCGGATCAAACGCAGAGGGATCGCTTCCATTGTTATCGTCCTCCGCGGCAACGATGAACTTGACAAGGAGAAGCACTGGCAACCACCAGAAGGCCTTTGGCGATGGCGCCATGAAGGGTGAGGCAACTCCGCCAATTCCCGCGCAAAGCTGACCAGACTTGGAGAAGGCGCTCCGAAGCCAAAGGTACTGTACAAATCGCTCAAGAATGACGACTTTAGTATGGGGACGGGGCGTATCGAAGACTGTTGCTTGAATGGCCTCACGCGTTCAAGCGACTCATGCGACGAGTCGTTTTCTCATCTAGTATCATATAAATGAAGTGTCTGTCCATTATAAGGCCTACTGCACTTCTGTGGACTGGCCATATAGTAGTCCGGCCGCGGAGTCCAGCAGCTACACGCCAGCAGAAACGCTGCTTTTTTTTAATACTGCCGAGGTAGGGTGGCATACTACGGGACACCAGCTCGTTCCCGTGACGGCTGCTGTCCAATAGAGGAGGCCCATCAGTCCATCTGACATGTCTCACGAGTGGCAGTAACTGCCACCCAGCTAACCCAAAGGCGCAGGCAAGGCCTCGTGTGGCGAGCCACAAACATGGAGCGAGGACCAAAGTGTCCCCGCATGACCTCTCACTGCGGGCACCAAGGGCGAATCGCAGGGGCAACTAGACTTGAACTTCTCCTCGCGGGCAGTCGGATTTTGTCCTCGTCCATTGCAATGTCTGAGAACATTAGGCCGCGAATGAGCAGGCTTGATCACTATCTCTCTAGCCCCAAGGACTGGAGGTCGGTATCTGCAAACAAGTCATTTGTCCCGGAGATCAGCCCTTTCTTCATCCACGAACCGCTAGAGCAAGAGACAAGTGCACCAGGGCAGCTGGGCGGCAACCAGGATGGATGACCTTCGGGAAATCTCTGCCGATGGGTGCCAGCGACCTGGTCCACGCTAGGCACGAGCGGCAAGCCCAGTGCCACAAGAGCAATGTCCACGGAGTACAGCTGCCCATCGTTCATGAGACCCAGTTTTCGAGTTTGCCGTGCCAGGTGCTCTTGCGGATCTCTGGAACACGCAATCTGCGTGTCTGGGCCGGGTAGCGGAGTAATTGTCTCGGCCTGTGAAATGAGGCAGGAGAGTATCGTTCGATTCATGAAGGCATTTTGTTCACAGCTAGTCTCTTTTGAATGGATAAATATATTAATATGCGTTTCCATTCATCAGCACATTAAAATCCGGGCATGATCATAAAGTGAGCGTAACTATAAGCCTTTTTCTTCCTAAGCTTGACAGTCGGTCTCCAAGAATTCAATCTTTCATACCATGCACGTAAATATACGCACTTTTTATCTTCAGCGTTGTTCATATATTTAATATTCTCAATCTGGTGCCATTAATGGATATCCTTGCGAGTGGGTCATTTTTCTTCAGCTCATAACCATTATATCTATATAACTCCCCGTGAGCTCACGCCTTAATCTCTATTAATACCTCGATATCACACAGAAGCTTTCCAGCATTCATCTTCACTTCAATTTCTTGTCCTTCTCAACTGTATTTCGACGTTCAGAAACCTCAAGCTACACTGAGTTTCCCTCCTTCAACTACATGCGTCTGCTCTTCACCGCCGCCCTTCTATCTTCATCTCTAACACTGAAATATTATTCTTCGTCCTACAAAAACAACTAATTCATATATTTATTACATCTAACATAAACAAGAAGAAATCTAAATAACACGCACCGCCTTCCGAGGGCCAGCAGGAGGAGCTAGGCAGGCAGTACACTAATAAAATGAAAGACTGGAAGAGCCTGAAAGACTTTCCAATGCTTGGTGTCCTGCTAAAACCATTTAAATGGTAAAGGGGTGGCCCGTTGCAATAGAACAGCTTTCGGGTAAGAGAAAACTGACTGAAATGGGAAGACAGTACTATAGTAATGGTTTGGGCAAGTACTGCGCCAGAGCCTCGCGGCTCCGTGCCCACCTTCATTTGCCATAGGCCTGCGAGCAGCTTCAAGTCCCTACTTCATATTCGTTAAAGGGTGGGACAGCACTCCGACTCTCAAGCGCCTAAGCGACATTTCGTTTTAGAATATCGACAATCCGTTGAAAGCGGGAGGTAATCAATAAACTAAAGAGCATGATTCTGAGCGCTTCTTAAGTGACGCCCGTCTATAGTACCTGTATTGGTCCATTCAATTTCACGGGAAATCACGGCATCGTAACATACCCAACGATAGGAACGGCTAAGTGGCTCGAGAAGGAGTAACCTAGGGGCCCCTACCCAAGGGACCCCTTTAGTCTCTATTGGCTACTTATAAAGAAAGGTCCGGCAGGCTACTAAAGACTATTAGAAGGGCCTCTAGGCTACCGAGGCAGCTAAGGGCCCTAGGGCTAAGGGCCTAGGCAAGCACTATACGTCTATTCGAAAGACACCCCGCCTAGCCCTTAGCCCGGAAAAGGACCTTATAGGGAGGCCTAGGCCGACCCTCTCGGCCTTCTACTAGCTTCTCTTCGGGGCCGGCTTCCTATTTTCCTTCCTAAAAAGGACTAATAAGGTAGACCGAGACGACTGCCGCTGCGGCCAAGGAAGGCATACGGCTAGGCACCTTATCCTAAGGTGCCCGAACTATAGGAGGGAAAGAGAGGTCCTTTACCGGACCTCTAAGAGACGGAAGGGGGCCCTTAGCCTACCTCTTCTAAGGAAAGAAGGGGAGCCCTTCTAACCTTCTTAGCTAAGACAGAGATAGGGACAGCTAAGTAGCTCGAAAAGGAGTAACCTAAGGGCCCTAGGGCCCTTAGGCAGGGGAAACACCGCGCGGGAGGAACCAGACTAATCTTTCCTTTATCTTTGCCATTATAGCTACCCTTTCCCTAATTGGTTATAAGCCCCCGGGCTCTACAGCTAGCTAGGACTGCTAATAGGGGCCTAGGCCCCTATTAGCCTCGCCATGGCCCTAGAGGCTGCATGCGAGTAATGATATAAAAAAAAACATACCCAACAGATCATCGAGCCCTGTGACACCCAAAATGTTCACGTCGGTTCAACCAGCAACATCGCCCAACAGATATATCATCAGCCGTCTTCAATGTTTACTCGTCGAATTCGACGCATAGGTCAAGAGTGAGTGTCTTGGCTAAGGTAGAGCTAAGCTTCTGAGCTCCGCCTCTTAACGGGCATCTACGGGGTCAAGTCAGCACATCAAATTTCATGTTTCTATAGGGTGTTCGACCCTTCGGCAACAGTGACCCTCCTCAGCGACACGGGGCACGGGGGTAAAGGTTAAAACGGGCGGTTTACCTCAAGAACATCATACTTTCCATCACGGATCGATAAAACAAGCATCACATAGTTTGACAGGGCTAGGGCACAAACACAAGGCACACGCAGCACGCGGCCAGGAGCAAGAAAGTTCGTTATCCTCACGGCGGATGTTAATACCATATGATCAACGAGAAACCAAAATACCGGTATAAGTCTTGCGTCTCTCCGATGCCAGTGAAAATGGCGGTCTCGGTAGCCGCCGCTGACATGAAGTGAGTGATGCCCGGTATTCAGTGTTGCTCCGAATCGTATGACAAGACTGTTCGAGCCCGAGGCAATCCTGCTCTCGAGTTACGTACAACTTTCTGTATGCAACTACTTTTCGCGACTGCCCCCCGCGTGAGTTGGCGCCTGCAAATGCGTAAGGGAAACGCCACTCCCCGGCCTCGGCCTCGGCCCAGTCTCACCAATGAAGGGTGATGAGCCTGCAGACATTCTCCGGCGAGACACTAAATACTCACTTCGTAAGCCCTGCCATGATAAACTAGGGCTGCCCCTCCTTGCACGAGGGATGCTCGCTTCGGCACGTCGGCTCCGTCCGAGTCGCGATCCGCCGGCCCCGGAGGATGACAGCCATCTCCGCAACCACTCAAGGCCGAGTCAGGTGCCCGTATTTATAGCATCCAAAACATCCAATGGTGAGAAAGCAGCAACAGCCAAGGCCCCGGAAAACTGCGCGGGGGAGCCATAGTGGAGGGTCGGCATTTCGAGTGTGCGACATGCCGAGGGTCCTATCCCCTGCAAAGCCGGACCGCACCTCTCGCGGCTCCGACCGCCCTGCCGCCCCATCACGCTGATGGCCTCGAGACCATGTCGTCATATGCAAGCGACCCCGTCCCCCTAGCCCCGCCTTAGTGTTTCGTTGAGCCGGCCGTCATCGGTGCCGGTGCGCCGAATGCGCGGGACTTGCCCATCTAAATGCCACGGACTTAGCCCGCCTTCCTGTAAGCCAACGTCACATTGGAGTCACGGCTCACCACCATTTGCAGGTGAGATTCCGGGCATCCACGCTGTCTTTCCGCGGACTCGAACGTGCGTAGAGGGCTGTGCCGCGGACGTTTGGTGTTTATAAAGAGGTCCAAGGCTCTACGGGAGAGCCGAGGCCACCCCGTCTCATTCAAGCGTGATTCGTAAAGCCGTCTCAGCATCAGAATGAGCTTCTATCCCAGCGAGCATTCAACACACATGTACGGGTCCGTCATCGGCATCGCCCTCGGGCTGGTGTTCCTTCGGGTAAGGCATCCCCTCTGTCGGCACTCTGTAATCAAGGAGTAACCGCAGGCGGCAGACCGTGGCCAAGGTCCTCCGAGCGCCCACGTCGCGCGTCCCAGGGCCCTGGTATTCGAAATGGACAAGCCTCGTCCTCGACTTTTACTTCCTCACGGGCAAGCGAAGCTTCTACGTGCACGCGCTCCATCAGCAGTACGGTACGGTTCATCCCGGGTGCATATATCCAACATGGAGCTGTGGAATGGCAAATCTGACTCTTCGCAGGGCCCGTCGTCCGCATCGCGCCAAATGAGATAGACATCACCGACCTCGAGGCCGTCAAAACAATATACAGCACCAAGGAGACATTCCGCAAGTCCAACTTTTACCGCCGCATCGTCGCGCAGGACCAGCAGTCCATGTTCTCGACCGTCGACATCGACTTCCACCGCCGGCACCGCAGGCTCCTCGCCAGCCCCATGTCGGAATCGTCGTTGAAATCCATGACGGCGCGGGTCGACGCTCGAGCGCAGCTGGCCGTGGAGAAGATGGGCCAAGAAATGAAGTCCCGAGGCGCGACTGATGTCTTCAAATTCTGGTTGTTCATGGCCACCGATGTCATCGGCGAACTCACGTTTGGCGACTCCTTTCGCATGTTAGAGCTCGGCCACGCAAGTCTCCCTATACACACGTACTAGGAGCTCCTTTCCAGGCGTAGCGCGCTAATATCCGGCCAGAAGAATGAATACGTTGGTGAGCTGGAGCGAGTCGGCCGAATGGGCGCCCTCCGCGCCACTTTTCCCTCGCTGGTGGGTTTTAGCAGAATAATTCCGTTGCCTATTTTCAGACAAGCACAAGAGGCCAGTCAAAACCTGAGGCGCTACGCGAGCGAATCCCTAGACCGGTATCGAAGGCTTGTCGTGGCCAGCCCCGACCTAGTGCAGCAGACACTCTTCACCAAGCTCTTCAAGGCGGAAAAGGAGGACACGATGCCATTTAACGAGATACGAGACGAGGCGCTCTCATACCTGGTGGCAGGAAGCGACACGACGAGCAATACCTTGACGTTTCTGACCTGGTCTGTCTGTCGCAATCCTCGGCTTCGCGCTTCGTTGGTTGAGGAGTTGCAAAAGCTGCCCGCCGACTTCACCGAAGCGCAACTGCGAGACCTCCCACTCCTTAACCACATCATCGACGAGACGTTACGCCTATATTCGGCCGCTCCATCGGGCCTACCGCGTGTTGTGCCGCCAGGAGGAATAGAGCTGGCGGGATATTGGTTCGACGAGGGCACCGTCGTCTGCGCCCAGGCCTACAGCATGCATCGTGAGAGCACCATCTATCCCAACCCAGATGCATTTGTCCCCTCGCGATGGGCAGAGCCCACAAAGGCCATGAAGGAGGCATACATGCCATTTGGTCGTGGTCCTCGAGGTAAGGGCGTGATCTACGCGAGCGTCTTTGAAACCCCTGGCTCTCTGCCTGCACCAGAAACTCGCTGACGCCCCCTTTTTGCAGTCTGTATTGGCCAGCATCTCGCGCAAATCGAGCTCCGCCTGGCCACGGCTCGATTCTTCCTTGCTTTTCCCGAGGCTAAAATGTCGTCGCTGGAGGGTATGTCGGACCTCGACATGGAGCCCCGAATTCACTTTTTGCTGGCTCCATCTGGCAGCCGCTGCCTCGTGCAAGCCCAAGCCAGATAAAATTGGCGCGAATTGGAGGCGATGCGTTGCGACCTACAACAACGACTCAGTTATTATTACTTAATACTGTACTCTCGGAGGCGGCGCGCTCCTTCGCCGTATGACATCTCTTGTCCACCTGAAATCAAGGATGCAGACCCAACTTCACCACGCTGCTGCAACGCAGGAGCAGTCACGCGACACAAACTCAATCAGAAGCCGCCATCGCGCCCCACGTAATAGCTCTGTTCAGGTCGCGAGGGCCTCGTCGCTTTGTTCATGTAATTCTTGAATTAGTCTACCTGGTATAATGTCATGACGCTTCAATAAATCCGGATATCTATTGACAATGATGGTACAGAAAATGTGACGGGCTTGTTAGAGTAGTATGCTTCGGAACCAAAACTGAAATAGCCCAGGTAGTCTGCCTTTTTGGGGTAGTTTGGCTCGTTGGACTGGAGAATCTCCTCGATGAGGGGCGAAATATCACCGTGAAAGTCGTGGGCAGTCTCGGTTGCCTTCCAGGTCAGAACGTGCTGTTCCCGGCCGTTACGGCCATAGTACAGGTTGCTGGAAACGGAGGTCAGCTGGTGAACGGAACAGGCAGATGGGGGAAGCGTACAATTTCGTCCCGTCCAAAGTCTTTGTCGTGACGGTGCCGTTGCCCTGGCCAATGGCAAACGTGGCGGGGCCAATAGCGGCAAACCACACCATGACTTCGTACTTTGCCTTTTCGCTGTCTGCGGCCCTTGACTTGTCGCTGTCTAGGAACATGTCGATGGCGACGTTGGAGTTTACGTTGGCGGCCGTGAGCTCGTCGACGCTCGTCGACGCGCCCGTCTTGTTGTCCAGTCGCATGGTCCACGCCATGTCGATGCCAATACTACTGACACTTTGGAGCTTGGCGGGGAGCACGTCGCCGTCGACCTTGATGTTGGGGAAGGCATGGACGGGTTGGTCGGTCGCCTTTGCTTGGGGATACTCCCAGACGACATTAAACTGAGGCGCCGTGGTCCCGGTCGCATAAGTCTGGTTGTTATAGGTCGTGACCTGGACAGGAGTCAGCGCGAGCGTGACGGGGAGCCGGCAAGGGCTTGTACTCACGTTCATGCACAAGAAGCCTGGATCTCCCTTGTTCCACGCCCACTGGTTGGGATTGACTGCAGGACTGGCGGTTAGCAAGGACAAGGCGACGAAAGGCGAACCGGCTGAGAAGACTCACGGGTGTATTCTTGACCCTTTGTTTCCGGATGGATACCAGTCGACTTTTGGCAGTACGTCTTCTCAACCCACTTGTTGTCGAGGGGTGGGACGAACAAGGGCGTCTGTCCCGAAGCCTGTCGATGGGCCTGGAGGCCGAGCAGGATGCCCAGCGTGGCGGCTATGGGCAGAGCCAGGAAGGCGACATTGACAAGCCAGCGGAACATGGCTGGTGCCGGGCGGCGCGAGGGTGCGTGGCCGCGTTGGCGAAAGAGGGTGCAGCAGAATGGACGTGGCAAGCAGCAAAGACGGTCTCTGGTTGATGGACGGATCGAGGAGCAATGAGTGAGTGTTGGCGGCCGTGTGTTGCGTTACGTGTTGCGTGTCGAGCTGAAGCGCGCAGAGGAAAAGCGAGTGAGTGGGCGCGAGCATCGACGGTTGGCAATTGTTGTTCGGGGCGGTCGTGTAAAGTCGCGATGGGCTCTGCCAAGGGGGGAAGATTGGGAGGCAGGTACTGTCAGGAGGAAAGATGCTTACTTAGTACAAGGGACTGGGGTGGGAAACCTAACGCGGGAGCTGAGCAGAAGTTGAGCCGAGCCTGTAGGCGCCCGGTATCTACTTACAGGCACTACCCGGGAGTTCAGGGGGGCCGGGGGGGTAACTGAAGGCGCTAGTACCCTTGGAGTGACTGTAGTATAATTAACTGATGGATTCAACCATACCAGGTACCTATGTAAGTACGTATGGCTGAAAGCAGTCGTAGACGTAATACAGGACGTGGACGATGAAGTGTCCACCGAGAAAAACAACCATCTACGGATCTGCAAATGTCAAGAGGCCACTACCTTATCAAGCCTCTAGTCGCTCTCCTCTCGTAGTGGGTAGCGCTTGACGCGGTGTGCATTCTTCCGTCGTTGCAGCGCGATGGAGAAATCATTTCCGTGTTTGTTTTGTGCGGTTTTAGGGGACATGGGTGGTGGCGTGGAATCAGAAGCTTCTCATCCTCGGCAGCCGTCAGTTCGAAGTACGTGGTCTCCGTGTTATTGACTGTGACTTCGTACTGTGCACCCACGCCAAGATGCACCGAGGATCCCCCCCCGAAAACATTCCACCCCTCCCCCACGTGCCACTGCCAAGGGGCGGGAGTCTCTGTTCTGTAGTTCTGTAAATAGTGTACTGTATGTACTCTGTACACGTTGCCTCATCCGCACGAGTCGTGCTCCTCTGGGCCTGGGCATTACCAGCTGCCTCGATAGACCAGGGGGAAAGGTGGCGATTGCGCTGCTCGTTTTCGACGCACATCTTCAAAGTGCTGGGCAGAGACTGAAATGTACTTGTAGGCAGAGAGAACCCTCAATGGCGGCCGGCCCGAGAGAGGGGCGTAAACGCACTCCACACGTAATCCACCCTGTCAGGGCGGGGGCAGAAGCCTTGGAGCACACGTGCACGGGTCGCTCCGTGGGCTGGCATACTTTGAGTAATCGTCCAACCAATGGCGATGAAGGCTCCCCAAGGAAGTGATGGGCATCTGGCATCCGCAAACATTGACCTTGTGCATGCGATATCGACTGCGCCTCACCCGTCACCAGCACCACCAGGGACTGCTGGCTGGGCTGGTCGGCCATCTCTGCGGTACCACTCCATGCCGCAACGTTGCCAAAAAGCACCTTACCTACAGCCTCCTACAACAACCCAAGAAGCGTCCACCGCGTGCTGACTAGTAGTAGTGGTTTGTACAGTTGTGGTCGCTAAAAAGGGAGGCTGTTGGCATTTGGAGGCAATTTTGGCCCGAGCGGAGCCCCGGGGCGTAGTCGGGCGCTAAAACAGCCCGCAAGAAACAGTGGGGGACGAACGGTACAGAGTGCTTTGTACCCACGATCATTGTTGCCGAGGTCACTTACTCTAAGGTAGAGTACCGATGTACTGTACACACTGCCTCGCAAAGACCAACAACAGTCAATGATGGTTGCCTCATCGGCAATCGGAATTGCTCCAACCAACTGTAGGGCTAGTGGCTGCCGCGTTTGTAGTCGCCACTCTGCCGAGACACAATATGGTCTTTGTTGCTGTTTAAGTGCTTGGTGGCCAGATGGACGGGCAAAAACGGCTGGGCCGAGACAGGCTGCCTTATCACTCCTCTGTTAAACGAGCCGGCGACGGCATGACATGTGAATGTAGGCCATTTGTGCGTACACATGTGTGTTGTGCTTGAACCCGTAGCACAAACGCTGCACTGTCCGTTTTTGGCTCGTGCTTCGGCCTCCGGCTCCCTTTGCCGAAAAAGACTAGATTATGCAAGGCATTAACTGCAGGGATGGATAACGGGCGGCCCAAGGCAGTGGAGTTGCACGAACCAACGGGCCTCGTCCCGGGCAGGCGTGGATAACAGGTTGACGCTTCACCGAGCGCGTCTCAGACGTTAGCAGGAAAGGAACAGCTTAATTAGTACCGGCACTGTTTTCAGAGCCGGGGCTTACAGAGGTCGTCTGGTGGAGCGGTCGACAAGCAGCAGACGAGATGTGCAAAACCGCTCGCTTGCATTGCGTTGCTCCGTTGCGGGTAGTTTGAGGCAATGCTGCGACGGTTGCCCAGTCTTGACGTCTTGCAATAGTCCATGGGCAGGTGCGACTGGAGGAGAAAGGGAGGCAGCAGCATGCGCCCGGGCGCTTGCGGCGAGAGGAGCCAGGCCGATTACCCACCGTCAGCCTAGTGGCTCCTGGTTGGTGGGTCGGTCCGGCGAGCCAGCCAAGAGACAGGTTTATGGCTGGCGGGGCCCGGGGAATAAACTAAAAACAGACAGCGAGACCCACCGAATAAGGGGCCGAGTCGTCGCATCGTGGCTTTGCATTTTTCACAGTGCAAGATACAAGATGCCATCGACGTCAACACAAGCAAAAGGGGGGCAGAGCCAAGCCTCTCCGCCAAGAGCGGCAGCGGCCAACGGACCAGACCAACGTACCAGACCAACGTCTTTGCGGCGTGACGGTTTATCAGCAGTGGTTGATGGCTCTGGCTACAGCATTTTGCTTCCACGGCGTGTTTAGCGCCCGACATCAAGGGGTCCGGTTGCACAAATCTCTATTTTATGCGTCCATGACGGAAGGGGAGTACGACTCTCAGCTGCCTGGGGCACACCTTGTCTGGCGCACGGTGGCCAATCAAGACAAAATAAACAATCGCGCTCATGATAGCTCGCATGCACCCTCTGCCGAGTCACAGCACGGCCGTCTGTACAGTGCAATCTGTCTGGTCGCCGACAATCTCGAGGGTTCTTCGTATAAGCACAAGGGTCCAAGTCAGCAGCGGGTCGCTGGTCGGGCTGCGTTGTGCCTGCCAGTACCGCGGTCACAGCACTGGGCAGTTCTGCCTGTTTGACGAGATGCCACGACCACAGCGCCACGGCTCTTTACAGAAACAATCTCGCAAGCATGCCGAAAAGAAACACAATCGGCGCTGTTTGTGGGCGGTTTACTCAGGAATGCCGACTCCAGTGCTCCACCACGAGGTTTTTGGCAAGGGGGGCGTGGCTTTGGCTCGTGCGCAATGGGAGACCCTCTGATCTACACGCCTACCAGGGGGGTCCTTGTGCCTCCCGCCCCACCCTGGGGCCCGCCTAGCACAAACGCGCGCTACCGTGCGGGAGACCAGACGACCGTGGCTCTTGCCAGCGCCTAGGCTCGGCAGGCCTTGGAAGCACCTGGACGCTCAGGGGAACTCGAAGCTTGCTCCACGGGGCACTGCTCGCGTCGGATGCCTCGCCGCAAGCATGAGCCTTGCAAACCATCGCAAACACAGAGTCGTCCATGTAGGGCTGCCCGCTGATGGGCGTCGGATGCGGTCGGTAGCCGGACGCACGCAGCGAGCTGCCCGCCACCTCTGTTCGTGTTCGTCAGGTGACCTCGAGGCATGCAGGCTCGGGGGAGACTAGAGAGATACCTGCATTGGCCATGGCATGGCGCCGTAGTAATTGGTGTGCTGGGGTTCATTCTGCCATCAAAATAATGGCACGCGTGCCTGGAATTGCTCCCGACAAGGTACTCCGTACAGTACCTCCAGTATTGCATGACCGTCCCTATTGTTCCATGTATAGTACACCGCCCAATAATTACCCTTTTGCTTCTGTTGTCCCAGCTGCCTCTTTTCCTCTCCCCCCTGCCTCGGCCTGTGTGCCTCGATTTCTTTCTCTCTCCCCCAAATTCTCTCGCTTCCAACTCTACCTGCTGTGCTTCTCTCCTTGACATCCGTCCTCCCACACCGAGGCTACCCACGCCTGCACATCCAGCCCTAACCACCTTCACTCGTTTATCCGCCCTCGGCCAAACGCCTTGAATGACTGCACCTTCGGCTCGGCAGGTTCCCAGTCGTCCTTGCTCTCGACCCGTGCCGCTCGCTCACCACCCTTCGGACGACCGTCTCAACTCTCGGTGACCAAGGCTGAACAAGACGCTCGACAGTCCGCCCTTCCACCATGAAGAGCCATCCAGCAGAGGAGATGCTGGAGATCGGCACCTTCCAGCGCCGGAACCAATCCTCTCCGTCTCCAGACTATCACCAGTTCTCGCGACCGTTCCCCGCCAACCCGAGGCCCGTTTCTTTCCAGGCCTCCGACGACAACTCGTCGCCCGACTGGCCTCCCTCAGCCACGGCAAAGTCAGACTCCCAGACGCTGGTCGACAGCCCCCAAGAGTCCCGCGCCAGCTTCCGATCATGGAAAACGGGCCAGCAGACGCCCGTCGATATGAACGGCTCGACCAGGTTCCTGCCCTTTGCTGACTCGGGCCCGTCAACTCCCATGGTAAGCATGGCCAGCCCTGTGCTGCGTTGGAGCCCTACAACCGAGCTACCTCCTCCTGGATGAATTTGTCGACTGACCCGGCTCTCGCCTCAGAACCAAAGCAGCATCAGTCTCGCCGGCCTCCTTCAAAATGCCGCCTCGCAGCCTGGAAGCAAATCTTGGGCAGAGAGTGACGAGTCCATAGCCGTTCTGCATAAGCGCGATGACGCTGACATCTGGCGTGGCTGGAAGCGGCACCTATTTCGCTTCGTGCCCGTCCTCACCTTTCTCAACACCGGAATCTACCTGGCCTACCTCGCCCTGCGCATCCTGTGCGTCATCTGGGCCCAGCGAGTAAACCACACCGTCTACGCAGCCGCCTGGGTCTTCATCGGCGTCGAAATCGCCGTCGCCGTCCCCTCCCTTATGCACAACTCGTGGACCATGTGGTCTATGAAGAAGCGCACCCGCCAAAAGCTCAGGCTAAAGGGCTACGATGTCCCGACCGTCGACGTCTTTGTCACATGCTGCGGCGAGGACGACGAACTTGTCATGGACACGGTCCGCGCCGCCTGTGACCTCGACTACCCCTATGACCGATTCAGGGTCGTGGTGCTCGATGACGGGAAATCGGCCAGCCTCGAGACCGCCATCGCCCGGCTGGCCATGAGCTATCCCAACGTCTACTACATGGCTCGCGAGAAGATTCCCGGCAAGCCGCACCACTTCAAGGCCGGCAACCTTAACTACGGCCTCGAGCAGGTCAGCCTGCTACCTGGCGGAGCTGGCCAATTCATGGCCGCGCTGGATGCCGACATGGTTTGTCTCGCGCACCTTCTCGTCTGAGACCGCATCCATGCTAATCACTGGCATCACGCTAGATTCCTGAACGCGACTGGCTCCGAGCCGTCCTCCCTCATCTCTTGGCCGATCCCAAGATGGCGCTCGCTTGCCCGCCGCAACTGTTTTACAACACGCCACCTGCTGACCCACTCGCCCAAAGCCTCGACTTCTTCGTCCACGTGATTGAGCCCATCAAGGATGCGCTCGGCGTCGCCTGGTGCACCGGCTCTGGCTACGTCGTGCGTCGTGATGCGCTCGACGACATTGGCAACTTTCCCCTGGGCTCCCTGGCCGAGGATGTCGCGACGTCGACGCTCATGCTGGGCAAGGGCTGGAAGACGGCCTACGTCCACGAGCCTCTGCAGTTTGGCACTGTCCCTGAAGACTACGGCAGCCATCTCAAGCAGCGAACGCGCTGGGCCATCGGGACTGTCGACACGTCGTTCAAGCTCAACTTTTGCCTATGGGGAGACAAAGTTCGCCAGATGGGGTTTGCCCAGCGCTTCTCGGGCTGCCTCTACGCCACGCTCAGCTTGTATACCATTCTTCTCACGGTTTCGCTCTTTGCCATTCCCATCATCCTCGTCATGGGCAAGACGCTGGTTGCCTACGCCACCAACGACCAGCTCCGGTGGCTGATTCGACTCTGTTTCGCGGCCACCATTTCTAACCGTCTTTGCGAGTGGGTATTGTCCGTTCCCGCTGGCTACCACACGGGGCAGAGGAGTGCCCGGTACCAGTTGTGGATGTCGCCCTACATTGCTCTCTGCATCATCCGCTCCTTCATCCTCCCTCGCTGGCTCGGCGGCCAGGTCCAGGCCTTCAAGCCAACCGGGTCTCTGGCCTCGGCGCTGAACGAGCGCGACCCCCTGAGGAAGAAGAACATGATCCGCCGGTTGTGGGCCATTCTCATCAACTACATGGGCATTTTCCACCTTGCCTTTGTCTACCTCACCCTGGTTGGCGTGGTCATGACTTCTTTCCGCTGCTTCGTCGTCCAAAAGACGACCAAGGAAATCCTGCTCTGTTTGGTGACGCACGCCTTTTGGCCGCCGCTGACCTTTTTGTTCATCTGCAACTCTCTCTGGGTCCCCGTGGCCTACGCCATCGACCCACCGATGATGCCGGATCGAGAGCAGCTGCTGGATCGTGACCCCAAGACAGCCGTCGCCCATCCTACGGCGAAGAGCAAGAAGATTGCGTTTGGCGGCCAGGCGGCTTGGTTCGAGCTCGAGCTTACCACATCGACGCTGTACACAGCATTCATCTTCGTTCTCTCGTTCATCTTCTGAGGCGGCTCGTCTTGGGCACTCGACGCAGCACTCGCTGCTTGATTAACTTGAATACAACACAATGGAATCGACGCCAGCGAGTACGTAAAGTGGCCTCGATGCACCCTCGCACCTCGTCCTTGGTCATCTCGGATCATGCTCGCTGAGTTGGGTGACTGCACGGCCCAACGGCAACGGCTAGCTGCCATGGCGAGGGCGCGATGATGAACAGGCGCGCGTCACCACTCGTCTCGACCTGGTATCACGATGGCGATGAATGCGGGCCCCCTTAGGCGGGTCATGTTGAGGCTTCAAGAGCGGGCGTACACGGATCATCTTATTTGGACATGTGGGCAACATGCAAATGGGAGAGTCACGGGCGGTCAGAGACTCGGAGTATTGACGCATCGATAAACTAATCGGCCACGGGGGTTAGTTGCTGGTATTTCTCGGCTTGCATTTACGCCACGGAATTGGCCTGTAGCATTACTGTTAGATAATGACTGCGCTCATGTGTATAGACTTTTTCTTTATGTAAATAGTCTTATTCTTGAGTTGTGATGGATGCCTGTGTCTGGCAGGGTAATTGCGTATGCGTGCTTCATAGGGTTCGATGTCTTTGATTACAGTAACGTGAGCCAGAACGACCGTGAAGGGAGGTGACAATGGCTTGAAGAAGTTGATGCGATGCTGGATAAGGGCCGTGCGGGAATTGCTGTTCATGTCGAAACAGCACTACAACATACGGAGTACGTGTATGAGTAAGTCACGGTTGATATTTGGCGCCTGGTACTGGGCGACGAAAGGGAACGCGACTCCTTGGATATTTCTCGTAATAACTTAGCGGGGCAGTGGGATGGGCATTGAGGGCCAGCTGCCGTTGAGAAGGTATCACCTTTTCGTCTTACGTTTGTTTCGATACACTTTCCGTAAGTAGCCGTGGACAAATGCTTCCGAGGGGTTATAGACAGGTGAGTTGCTCTAAGCTCTCTCGAAAAGACCGGAAGAAATCGCAAGTATTTAAAGCTATATATGCATGGACATGCTTATTATTATTATTATTATTATTATTGTATTTTCCGTCCAGCGACCTTTAGGTCGCTCAGGTCCCCGAGACGGGGCACAGGACGTGCTGAGCTGCTGGAAGTCTACTATCGCGGAGTAGGCCCACAATACGCGAAACGAAACGAGTACCAATCCGCGTCTTCTGCCCCTTCCACAGAACGTAAACAATCCACCATTCAGCATTTCATCGGCTCAAAGGCGCTTCTTTGCTCAGCCTGCTGCCCGTCAGCGGGACGTTCAGGCGCGACAGCCATGTCTTTCGTTTTGGCCTCACAGGGCCGGTTCCGGAGCACCCTCCGCCCGGCCGAGTCGGGTAAGAGAAAATGGGTGTGTGTGCAAACAAAGGGAAGGAAGGAGGAAAGCGGTTGCTGCCGCCTAGTGGCGAGGGCAGATCGTTCCAAAGAACGAGCTTGCCTTCGCCACCTTGACGAACTGGTCGAAGTCTCTGCCTATTGCTCGGTTGACCGCCGCGCTCGGTGAGGTGCCAACCTCATCCGATGTCGCGGCGCGATCTTCCGGCAATAGAAGAGATGCTTTGGTTCTTTTCGTCGACCACATGAGCACGTCAGTCGCGCATCGTCGTGGTTCAACCTTTCGTGGTAATCAGCGAAGTCCCCGTGGTGGGTTCTTGCTGCGAGCAGATGGTGGAGCAGAGGTCGTGGAATGGTAAGTTCTGGCGGGCAGCCAGTCGTGGCATCGAGGTCGAGGACCCTGTACTGTTGGGGTGCAGAAACTTCCCACCAGGCTTTGAATGCGTCTTTTGGTCGCTGCCTAGCGACCTTGCGCAGATATGCCAGCGTCGGGAGAGCGTCTGCAGGCTCGGGTTGAGAGGTTCCTGCCTTTGCTAAGGCGTCTGCCTGCTCGTTACCTGGGATGTTGGTGTGGCCGGGGATCCAGCGGATCTCAGTGGCACCATGTTCTGCGGCCAAGGCCTGGAATTCCAGGAACTCCTTCTGGGAGAATCTGACGGCATGCCTTGAAGACACGTCGCGACCGCGAGGTTATCGAGGCATACGACAATCTGGTCTGCAGCCGGGAGGCTCAACGCAGCACGCAGACCCTCTAGGAGCCTCTCGCCTCGGCATCAAAGACCTCAGCAAGCCCAAGACGGCCGTTACCGCTGAGGACGGTGAGTCCATCCTGATGTACCGCATAGCCGTACCCGCGGCTCCTCCGGGAGAGGATCCGTCCGAGTAGACGATTGCTGTCCGTGGAGCAACTGATTGGAGCCACTCGCCGAAGTTTGCCGCCGATTCTTCTTTCGGCGCAGTTTGCAAGGTCCACGCTGGTCGCTGGCGAACCTACGTGCGAGAAGGTCTGGCCTGGCGCACCTTGGGAGCAGCTCGTCAGTGCGACGCAGTCTGGTCCGGAAGGTTGTCGTGGACGCTGGTATTTTAACTTAATGGCCCTGTTGATGACAGGGGCCCGGATCGCTTCGTTCGCACCGCAAGCGGTGCGCGCTTCGTCGAGGACTTGAGACGGGCTGCGAAGCGCGTTCGACACGCCTGGAGCAGGTGCGAAACTGGCGGTATGCCCGCCTCCCGGTGCCTGGCGCTGAGCGGCGTCGTCTTCAGACCGGGAGGATGGCTCGCATGGCCGTGTTGAGCGACTTGTCCATCCGCCGGATGAGGTGCCGTATTCTTGATGGCCCTTCCTTTGCCGGCTTATTCCATCGCGGGCAGGTCATGCCCGGGTACCACGCCTCTGCCCCAAAGAACAATTGCGGCTCGATGCAGGCGCGGACGGCTCTCCGGACCGCACCTGGTAGGGGGCTGCATGGACATGCGCCTCCAACTGGCCAGTCCTACAGGGTAGCGGCTCCAACGTCGAGCTGCTTCCGGCACCAAAAGATGATGCAGTCCGCAAACAGCGGCCGTCGCCGCACCGCGCAGTCATGCCAAACCTCCCACTATCTGTTGTCTTATTCGGATCGCGGCAAGGGCATCAGAATGTCTTGGGTTCCGTGCTCGAGGGCAGCGCGGCTGGCGGTCGCGCGTTGGCCACTCCTCCGATGGCCGAGTACTTTTTCCCATCACTCTTCGCGAGTGAGTGTCTGCTTGGGAGGAGCTGCTGCTGCTGCTGCCGCCCTGCGGTGATGCTGCTTGCCCTCTCCTGCGGCCGTCCACCGCCAAGAAGGGTTTCATTGGAATCCAAGACCTCTGGCCGTGGCTGCCGGCATTCACAACTGGTCGGGAGACGGCAGAATCACGCTTGCCATGATACACTTCGCTTCCTGGTATCAAAATCGATTTAAGGTCGAGCTCGGCGACATCAGGACGGAGCGAGGCATGAAATGGCGCTGGGGAGCTATCTCGATGGCGGATTTGGAAAACAGTCAGGATTTCGACTAGGACGCGTAAATGCAGCTTCAAGCTGGGCCTGGCCTTGCGGGCTTGTGTAAGTGTCTTTGTCTTGCAGGGTGCAGACAAGAGGGACTGTCGTCGCTAGCTCAGCATAACATGCCAGAGCCAGAGACCCAGAGCTCATGCAATCCAGAACCAGATCCTCTCGAGCACGTTTCTTGGTTTGATGACCCTCCAAGTCGGCTCGAGGCGGTCAATCTCGGCCTTGCCTGACCAAATGTCCATATTGGAGAGGCGCACAAACCTGGTTCCCTTGGCCAACTTGTAACCGAGGAAGAGGGAGAGGAAGATGAGAATGTTGACGTAGGGGGGCAGAAACGTCTTGGCGCCGAATTTGCCGGGGAAGAAGGCGTCGAAGCCGTTGAAGAGGGCAGCGGTGAGGCAGAAGACGAGAGAAAACCATGCCAAGAAGGGCTGCAGGGGCGCCGTGTAGGGAAGAGTGTCGCGCTGCACGCCGTGGTGGCGCAGGCCGCAGTAAAATTGCAGGTACGTCCAGCTAACACTCGCCCAGACGACGAGGATGCTGACGGCGCTAATTTGGCTGAACCAGAAGAAGACGTCGGCGGAGCGGTTGCTGAAACTGAGGTAGGCGAGGCAGCTGACAGCCGAGGTGGCGAGGACGCAGGCATAGGGCACCCCGAAGCGCTCCCGGCAGAGAACGGAGGGTGTCTTGCCGTCGAGGGCGGCCGAGTAGAGGATGCGCGTCGAGGCGTAGAAGAAGGAGTTGCCGGCGGACCAAGCCGAGGAGAGGATGACGGCGTTGATGACGGACGGGAGAGTGGCGATGCCGGCGGTGTTGATGGCAATGGCAAAGGGGCTCTGGGCGGCGCCGGAGGCAGAGCTGCTGATGGCATTGAGCAGATTGGGGTCGCGCGACGAGACGCACAGGCCGACGAGAAAGATGGACTGGACGTAAAAGACGGCGATGCGCCAGAAGACGCGGCGGACGGCCTTGGGGATGTTGCGGCGCGGGTTCTCGGTCTCGCCGGCAGCCACGACGACCATTTCGCTGCCGCCGTACGAGAAGGTGACCTGCGTAAAGACCTTTACAAAGGCGAGGAAGCGGCCGAGGGCGCCGGGGCGCAGATACTCGTTCATGGGGCCGGGTCTGCGCCGGGAGGCGATGCGCCGACGGCGATGAGGAGCATGAGGACGATGAGGCCGACGATGGTGGTGATTTTGACGGCGCCAAAGATGAACTCGGCCTCGCCGTAGAAGCGCACGGGCAGACAGTTGACGGCGACGACGGACGCGAGACCGATGGAGACAATGGCGGCGGGCGGCAGCCGGGCAGCCGGGTGCCAATAGTCGACGACGACGGCGCAGGCTGTCGGCTCGACCGAGACGCCCATGGCGAGCCGGTACCAGTAGTTCCAGGCGAGGGCGAATCCCAGGGCCGGGTCGACGTAGCGGGCGGCGAAGACGGGGACGGCGCCGGGCACGGGCAGCCACGCGGCCATCTCGCCGAGGCTGCCCATGACGCAGTACAGGTTGGAGCCCGTGACGGCGTAGGCGACCAAGGCCGACAGCGAGCCGGCCAGGGACAGCACCTGGTCGCTGCCGACGAACAGGCCAGTGCCTATGGCGCCCGAGAGTGCGATCAGCTGCACTTGGCGCGACTTGAGGCGCCGCTGGAGGGTGCCGAGGTGGTCCGGGGCCGGCGACTCGCCCGCTGCCTCGACCTTGTCTATGCCGTCGGCGCCCGCTCCGGGTCCGGATCCGGGTCCGGGGGGGCCCACCGACGCCTGGTCGTCATGACGGACCACGCCGTCGTTTCGGCCCCGTGCCCTTGTTGCCGAGCTGCGCCGCGCCTTGTGCCATGGCGGCGGCCGCGGGGTCGCCGATGTTGATTTGCGCGGAGAATGTCGGCGCTCTTCTCTTGGCTCCTTTTATTTGAGACGTGGTGTCGGTCTGCTGATGACGGCAGAGCATCTCGAAAAGGCCTCGACCCCGCCCCTGGAGGCATCCAAACACAACCATGGCCCAATGGAGGCTGTGGAATTATCGTCTTGGCGTCCGCCATGTCCCAGGTGCGTAACGTAGCACTCGACATGCTGCAGGCGCTCCCTCTCGCCGCTGCCCGGGACTCGGCAAGCGAACTTGGCGGATGATGCGGTGCTGGTTACACGCGACGACAACAGGTAACAGGCCTCGGTGCCATGTCAGTGTGTCCATCTCTGGGCGAGACTGCCATCAACCGACCCCCGTGTGCTCGTCTCGCCAAGACAAGGGGGCAGATCAGCCTTGGCCATGACATTTAAAGTACTTGTTGCAGGTAGAAACGAACTCCGGTACGTGCGGTGTTGACGTGGCGAAGCAGCCCAGCCTGCAAGAGACGACAGTTGTGTCTGGTCGGCCTTGGCTCTGTAATGTATTGGACAAGACATGAGATTGGTCTCGGCCATCGGTGTTGTATGCGCAAGAGGGCAAAATCTCCCCCCCTTTTCCATCGGCCCACGGAGATGCTGTAAACGCAGCGCGGTGCTTGAAACGCGAATCCAATCAATCCGTGACTTGGAATCGGGGCTTTTCTATGCGGATGATCTGGACGGTGAAGAGGCATTAAGCGGGAGATGCCGGGTGCGGAGCAAGCCGGAACGAGGGCTTGGGTGACTGCCGGATAAGCTCGAAACGGCGGGGCCGAGTGGGCTCTGAGCCTGGGGTGAGTCGGCCGGCCGCCAAGAGTCAGGGCGGTAAAAGGCAAGAGTCGGCATGAGAAATGGAGCCGATGTCGTTGCTTCTACGAAGTAGGTCTTGCAGATGATTGCTGGCTGGAGAGACTTGAGGCGGTGCAACGGGAGTAAAACCCGCATCTGATAAACCGAGAAACAAAGTCAAATTCTTGCCATCGTCTTGGCCACGTCACTTTGCGGGATGCCGCCGAGGGAGGCATCGTCAGGTCACAGGTGGTCCAAACGGGTGGGGGGGGCGGTTGGCTCCGGCCGGGACAGCCAGCAGCCTGAGGAAGATGAATGGATTTGTATTTGCACTATTCAGTGCCCAATGAGGCGCAACACTTCTGATTCAGGACACTCGGATTGGTGCGCTCCTGACGGACAATCCTTGCTTAATAGCCCAGTAGCCCAATCAGAGCGCTGGCAGATGAGCCCTTCCCTTCCCCTCGTCTGTCCTGGTGTCACGTCTTGGCGGCATGGAGAAGGAACAAGCACAAGACGGGTCACGTCCGGAAAGTTGTCCGGCTGCAGAGGCTCATGCACGCATGACGGACCCAAAAGCCTTCGGCAGGTGGGTTTATGCTTAAAGCAAACGAGGGCTGTCTGTGAGGCCAATTACTGATGACACGACCACACACGCTTACTTTGGACCTTGGATGGCAAACTCTCAGCCCTTGCCTGGCTTTGGCCCAAAGACACCAAGTCCATAACTCGAAGCTCAGCAGCCTCTGAGGGACCACTGGAGGACGTAGGGAGCGAGGAAGAGGGCCGAGGAAAAAGAAGGGGCCGTGGGCACTGCGATCCGGTTCTTCCCTTGCAAAGCCGCATGACACGAGCCCACTCGCCGCCCGCTTTTTGCCCTCGCTCGACTCTGTAAGAGCCCCGAGGAAATGCAGGTGCCAGAAATCGACTCAGCACGCCGTAATCGACAACGGAGAAGCGGCCGTTTCAAAACGCTGAGGCCTGCATCTCCGCTTCTCCGGATGGCGTCGCGTGGCACCATGAGTGGGTGCTGCACGACGCGTTTCTGTAACATGCTTTTACTCTGTCCTTGGACACAAGTATATAATACAAATACGTACGCCGGCCAAGGTCCGGTGGCTTGTCGGGTATGAATGCATGCGTCCTCGTGTAACCCTTTTGGCATCCTTCTTCGTTCACTCCTGTCGCGAGTGGCCGTGGCGATATAGTATTATTACGAGCCGTCGTCAGGCAGACCACTCCTTCACCCCCGTGTCCAGAGCCGTCACCATCGCCTTCCTGCCTTGTTGCCAATAAAAGAAAGCCGAACAAGAGTCCGGGAGGAAAAGAAAAGAAAAAGAAGAAGAAGGCGACGAGAAAACAGTCCACCAAAATGGCCCTGACCGCCGACCAAATCGCCCTTGTCAAGTCGACAGCCCCCGTCATCAAGGAGCACGGCAAGACAATCACCACCACCTTCTACCAGCGGCTGCTGAGCGCGCACCCGGAGCTCAAAAACTACTTTTCGCTGCGCAACCAGCAGTCGGGCGCGCAGCAGGCGGCCCTGGCCGACGCCGTCTTCGCCTACGCCGCCTTCATCGACGACCTGCCGCGGCTGGCCGGCGCCGTCGACCGCATCGCCCACAAGCACGCCTCGCTGTTTGTGCGGCCCGAGCACTACCCCGTGGTCGGCGAGTTCCTCGTCGCCGCCTTTGCCGAGGTGCTGGGCGACGCCCTGACGAGCGACGTGGCCGAGGCCTGGGTCGCCGCCTACGCGCAGCTGGCCGACGTCTTTGTCCGGCGCGAGAGGCAGCTCTACGACGAGACGGCCGAGTGGCAGGACTGGCGAGCCTTTGCCATTGTGCGCAAGGAGCACGAGGCCGACGACATCCTCAGCCTGTACCTGGAGCCCCGGGACGGCCGCCCGCTGCGGCGCTACCTGCCGGGCCAGTACGTGTCGGTGCGGATCCCCATCCCCGAGCTGGGCGGCCTGTTCCAGTGCCGGCAGTTTAGCCTCAGCACGGCGCCCGACGAGGGCATGCGGCAGTACCGCGTCTCGGTCAAGCGCGAGCAGACGGTCGACAACGCCTCGGTCCAGGACCTGGCCGACGGCAAGGTGCCCGGGCTCATCTCCAACAAGCTGCACCGCGAGTACGCCGAGGGCGCCGAGGTGGAGCTGAGCCCGCCCCGGGGCGAGTTCTTCTTCGACGTCGCCGCCGCCGGCCCCGCCGCCCCCGTCGTGCTGCTGTCCGTCGGCGTCGGCGCCACGCCGCTGCTGTCCATCCTCGAGTCCATCGTCGGCTCCGCCACCCAGGCCTTGCGCCCCGTCAGCTGGGTCCACGCCGCCCGCCGCCCGGGCGCCGTGTGCTTCGCCAAGCCCGTCGGCGAGATTGCGTCGCGGCACGCCAACGTCCGGTCCCTCGTCTTTGTCAAGCACGCCGACAAGCAGGCCCACCGGCCGGGGCGCGACTACGACTTGGAGGGCCGGCTGAGCATGGAAAAGGCCGAGGCCGAGGGCCTGCTGCACCTGCAAGACAGGTCGGCCGGCTACTACATCTGCGGGCCCGAGGAGTGGATGGTGCAGGCGAGGAAGTGGCTCCAGGACCGGGGGGTCGCCCGGGAGCGCGTCTTTGTCGAGCTGTTTAGCACCGGCGAGGTGCATTAGGCGGGATGATGGAAAGAAGCAAGGACGGACACATGTGTCCAGAGCAATGGGTAAAGAAGACAGGGGGCCATGGGAGGAACGGCCAAGAGACGTTGACCATGACGAGACTGGGTAGGTAGGTAGGTAGGTAGGTGGATTTTGACCCTGGCTGCTTCTTTGCGAGGTCCCTATGCGCCCTCATTATAAAATAACATGCTCTCTGCTTCGGCCTGGGGCGCTGAAAATTCAATTGCCAATCCCGCATAGAGCATGCTATCGTGCTGGACTTTGGTAGAGGGGGTCAATAGGGAGTCAGGCAGGTTTAGTCCTGCTGAGGACAGCCGAGCCCAGTGGGCCCAAGAGCCGGAAAAGGGGTCTGCCGGGCCAAGAGGACACTCCTAGCAGGGACGAGCGGGGGGCGTGACTTGTGTACGGGAACGTCTCAAATATCTTCTTTTGCCTAGTCATTTGAGGTATCTGTATCTCTGCAAGGCGCCTCCTCTTCCCGATAGATAGACCAAGACATGCACCACTAAATTATTTCCGACTCGGAGTGATGGCATCCTCAGCTAGAGGATCCTCAACTTCCATCCCCGTTGCTCCAGGCGCTTTTCCAGTTTCATCGCTTGTAGCCGTTGATTCGGAAAGCTGTGGCCCATTGAGCTCGGAGTTGAAAGTCGCATCAGCGGCAGGGCCCGGAGAATTTGTTCGCGCCGCTCCATCCGCCTTTCCAGCTTCCTCGCCTCCAGCCGATGCCTTGGCAGGCGTGGCAGCGTCCTCGTTGCTCGGAGCTGGTCTTCCTGCAAGCTGTGGCCCCCCGGGTTGGGTGTTGGTGCCGATGGTGCCTCCGACGCTGGTGCCGAGGGGTTTGCTGGTGCCGAGGGTTTTGCTGTTGCCGAAGACATCGGCGAGGACTTCTGCACTGGACATGTCTGCTCCCGTCGCTCCAGGCGCCTGTCCAGCTTCCTTGCTTGCTGCCGGTGCTTGAGCAGACTTAGCAGCGTCGCACTGTCCACCCTTCTTGACAGCACCAGCTTTGGCTGTGCCACTAGCCGTCTTCGGGTCCCCGGAGTTCAAAGGAAGAGGTCCTTGGGGGGAAGGAGAGACGCCGGCAAGGGATGCGCCGGCTTGCTCTGCCTTTCTATCCGTCGCCGTTGCAGCCATATCTTTTTTAGCTTCCTTACTTCCGTCCAATATCTTGTTAGCAATAGTAGGCTTGGCACCGCCACAGCTTCGATTCTTCTTGACAGTACCAGCCTTGGCTGTGCCATCAGCCGTCTTTTGGTCCCCGGCGGCATCAGAAAGGCCGGCGACGGCAGGAGAGCCCATTAATTCCTTGTTGCCACCCTGGCTAATAGGCATGAGATTGTGTTTGCCGTTGCCTGGAGAGGCGGCGGCAGGAGAGGCAGCGGCAGGAGAGCCCATAATACCGTCAGTGCCAACTGGGCTAAACTGAGGGTTGTGGACAGCAGAGGCGACGACAGGAGAGGCGGCGACAGGAGAGGCGGCGACAGGAGTGGAGGCGGCAGGAGAGGAGGCGGCAGGAGTTCCGGCGTCTTGCTCTGACGCTGCAGCCCCAATTACCGACATATTTTCCTCTCCCTCTGCATCCTCATTCACTCCAGAGTCGAGCTGTTCATCACTCTGCGCAGTTTCCGACACAGCTTCCACTCCCTGGACCTTGCCGCTGGCGCGCTCTGTTCCCATCGGGGGGGTCGAGGACACCTCAGCAGCCGGGTCTGCATCCTGCCGCTTATCAAAGCGCTCAAAGCCTGGGGGGGCCTGAGCCTGCTTGCTAGCTAGACCAGTTCGGGCCCGCAGGCCGAGCTCATCCCTGTGAATGGTCGGGGCGGCCTGGAGACCTTGAGCAGCCAAGGCGGCTAATAATTCTGGTTAGCGAGGGGGTAGCAACACAGATTTCAATACGACTTACCGGCCACGAGAGAGGCGAAGCGAACCATGTTGATTGAATGTATGAAAGGAGAATGCTTTGGTAGAGAGGAAAGTCGGTAGATGGACGTGGAAGTAAAATCCGAGTAGAGGAGGAATGACAGGAGTTAATAGCCTAGAAGACTGGTGTCTGGATACCGTAGAAGCTGGTGTTGGATGCTGAGCTTTCTGAGTTGATGCCAAAGACCGCTCGGGCCCCCTCTCTTATAGTTTTGGGCTAATCACATTTCATGGCCATCTTTCACGCTCTCTTGCAATATACGAGTCAATGACGAGCAGGCATCACAATGTAATCAGTCACTAATTACTACTTGCATGCGTTCCCGAACACTATAACACTCGCCTGTGTCTGAAACGCGCCGACGTTGGTAAGGCAGCCCTCTCTCCACTGCCCTGTGCCATCCGTATGTAAATCAGATGAAATAAGGACGGGATACTAGCCATGCACCGTACGCGTCATGCAATGCCAAGTGTTGAGCGATAGGGGCATCCTCCTTGTTGTTCTTGGGCCTCTCCTACCTCATGTTAATTCTGGGGCACTCTACCAATCAACAGCCACCAGGAATACGTTTGTGAAGAAGTTGGACGTAGCAAACTTTACCATCGCTGGAGAGAACATAGATTATGTCCTCGTAGCCTCTGCCTGGTTGTCCATCATCTTGTCCTGTTTTCTGAAATATAGTCGAGCTCGGGCTACGAGCTCGGAAAGGTAATAGACGAGACACGTGTGCGAATATCATCCATCGTTCGAGTAAATATCTTAGTTCTAGACTACAATAGGCAAAGCTTACAGATGGAGTAGTCGCCCTCGATGCTTGATTGTGGGGCTAGATCCGAATTGTATGCTTGAGTCTCCATAATCCGTCAAGTCAGTCGTGTATATTCATTATGTATTCCCATTTTCTATCGCACGCCTTCTACCAGGCTACAACTACTTCGCTCGATCCTAACATCCTAACATGCATATCACCTGTATCTCAGGTTGCCCAAGCAGCGCCTAAGCTGGCCAAGTCACTATAGTGCAAGGAGGTGGCTCAGTTCTATATTACAACATACCAATCCTTCTTGTACGTAACTACATTGACCACAGAAGCCTCACTCGGCATAATCTGCTCCCCTGATGCCAAGCGACGACGGTTTTATGGCCGCCTCTTTGAATAGCCACGTTTGAAATTACATGTTTTACTGGTCTCAGAATTCGCGTCACGTCCTGCTAATTTACAGACAGGTCCGCCCGATTTTGCGGGACCCTAATGGCACCTCGAACACATGTCCCCAACGGCTGGAAATGGCGAACATAAGCTCGAAAGCTCGGATAGATACGATATTGGGGAAGCCCGCGTTGATTGCGAAGCACGATTGCGGCGTATAAGCGAACCATGCCCTTTGAGTGGAATGGAATGCGCTGGACAGCTTGGAACGGTATACTCGATCTGCCAGGGGTTCGCTACTCGGCTTACTATTTCACCAGCTGCACTCGTCGTATAATCTCTCTGCTCTCTCGAGTTGTCGCGCATTGAAGCAGTTGAATTGGGCCCCCTCGGAATGGGCCAGTTCCACGCACGGGATCCATAGGAAAATCAAGGCGCATGGCGAGGATACGCTGGAGTCGTGACCACATGCTTTCGACCAATGGGAACGCAGACAAGGGATCCCGCAAGCCAGCCCGTGGGATAGATGGTGTTGCGCCCTCGACATGCCCCAAAAGGTGTGCCTGGTTCCCAGAAGAGCATAGGAAGTTCATTTCTTGCATGACAATCACGACGTTGCTTGCATGGCAATGTGCATCTCCGTAATGCTTCTCACGAATATCATTGAGACGTGTCATGTGCTGTACCAGGCGCTACTCATGACAGCTGTTGTGCTGACTGACGATCGCTAGGGTCTGCCTATCCTGACAGCCGTCCCGCCAAAGGCCTTTGTCCATCCGGTTCATCCGTGTGATCGTTGATGATCCGACCATCCTGATTCCACCCTGGGTTCTGTTTCAGCCAGAAGTTTAGAACTCCGAGAATCCGCCGCCAGAATGCGCCATCCTTGGTGCGGCATTATACGACTGCGGATGCGCAAGTTGCAGAGTGCCTATGCCCAAGGCTGTAGTTGGACCAAACTCGTGTGCGTGCAGACTCTGCCAAGTAATGACCCTGCAAGCGTCTACGCTCTCCTAGTAGTTTCGGTTAACAGGGACTTGTCCTGGTTCAACCGGCAAGCTTCAAGCATTGGATGCTTTGCTTATGGATCGTGAGGGAAGCGCAGCCCGCCAGTCGGCTGCTGCATAGTGGACTCTTACTAGTTCCCTCCTATTAGTCATGACGAATTGAAGACATAGTTTTGGACATGTCCCCATCTAGGACAGCATCATACGCGCCGCGTGCCGCGGAACCGGCCCGGGGCACCATGGTGGTCTATCGGACTTCACCCGCGGCCATTTATGGTGGAATGACAATGGGGCCGAACCCATGTCGCCAAGATGCAAATGCAAAGACATATTCCATCTGTAAGTTATTGCCCGACTCCTGGTCCATTGAGTCATGTCGTACAGCATGGCTCGAATCAGCGCCAAGGTATCTCACAGCAAGCGATAGTAGGAAAGATTGGCGCCAAGTCGTGGACAGTAAACATCACTATAATAGAAGTCCTAGCAAGTTGGGCCTATACAAATAGCTACGAGGCTGTCGCAACTGCTTATTGCAGACGTGGTCCGTACCTACGTTGTAGCAACGTACTATGGGGCCCGTGACTAGAGACCGGCGTTACGACAGCCAAAGGGCTAGAGTCCTGTGTCCATGAGGCCAGGTGGCCATTCGTCTACAAGGCACCCTGAGCAGACGCATCTCTGTAAAGAGAGGCAGGAGGATTCAGCCCCCAAAACGATTACTATGCAACTACAGCGCCCCTGAGCATGAAACCGTTGGATCCCTGTGGTAAAGGGATGGAGACGATTCGTGACAGTGGATTTCTAAAAAAAAAAAACTCCATCTAATCGGGGTCCCCTTTTCCGGGAAGGACAGCTTCGAGAATAGGGATGGATGTAGAGTAAGCTGGGCTCCCATCCTCGAGTCTGGCCTTAGCCAGCGCTCGTGATTATCCTGCTCGTAATAGGGCGTGCAACATTTTCAAGCTGGCGAAATTCATACAATTCAGTACACGTATTCTTGCTGCTCTGACTCTCTGAGACTGACCACACGGGCCAAACCATGCAGCTCATCGAAGACGCACGGCACACGTTTCATACCGAGAACTCGAAAAGCAACTTGCTCTGTGGCTGATGCTTTCTGAACGACATATACTCTGGGAATGAACGCACGCCATCCTCTGAATTGTGACGTGGATTCCTCCAACAACCGCGGCTTAATTATTTCGTCCTCCCGATTTTAACCAAAAGCTGTTCTGAGACTGATATGCGCCCGCACTACAGTTATACAGTACGTAATTATACGATTAATAATTAAACTCCCTCTCCAAGTAAGTAGCCAGCGGCAAAAACAAACTCCGTCGCCGCCAAAAAGAGGCTTGTTTGGTGCATTTCGGCCCGCCATGATGACGTCGTCGATGCATGCCAGCGCGTCTATTGTGCCGTGGCGCGGGTGCTCAGGGGACACGCCACGTCCCCCTCCCAGCCTGTGCTCCGTGCTTCTCGCCAGCCGAATAGACCGAACGGATTGCTGCCGAAAAGAGAGCGGGCAGATTGGTCGGGCTGGTTGCTGCGGGCCGTCACTGCAGGCCGTCACCAATCCAAGGGAGGGGGAAAAAGAAAATACGAACCTCGGAGTTTGCCGCCAGCCGAAAACCTCCATCAACGTCTGGTCATCCGTCATCCCGCCATTGTCACACGCTCGCCGACGCTCGAAGTATGCCGCGGCCGCCTCGGCGCGTCAACCTCTGCCGCTCCGCTCGCTGCCCGTCGTTGCTGCTGAAGTGCTGAAGGAGGACAAAGGCGCGCTCTGACGGCCGACACCGCAACTCAAACGACGACAAGAACCAGAAGCGCGAGTCACCGAGGGCACGAGGACCCAATGGCCCGGGCCAAGACGACGCCCGCCGAGGCCGAGGGCTCCGGCCGCCCGCCGCCCCGGGCCGCCGACCGCACCCTCTCCTCCGGTTCCTTCCACGCCGGCGCCCCGATCCCGACCCTCGCTTCGGCCCTGCGCCGCGCCCCGACACACCGCTACCAGACCTTCCCCACCAAGCCGCCCAAGGCGCCCGTCGACCGCCGCCGCCGCCGGTCCTCGGCCTCGACCTCGTCCGACTCCACCTCGTCGTCGTCGTCTTCGTCGGCATCTCCAGCCTCGCGTCACTCGTCCTCGGCCTCCTCGTCGACAGACTCGTCAGACTCGGCCTCGCAGCACGACCAGACGCCTCTCCCCGTGCGCCAGCTCCTCCTCCTCGCCCTCCTCTCCCTCTCGGAGCAAACCGCCCTCAACTCCATCTCCCCTTACCTCCCCGGGATGGTGTCGTCGATGCCCGGCGTGCCCCCGGGCCAGGGCGGCCTATACGTCGGCATCCTCGCCAGCGCCTTTGCCCTCGCCCAGCTCTCCACCAACCTGCTCTGGGGCTGGGCCTCGGACCTCGTCGGCCGCAAGCCCGTCCTGCTCGCCGGCACCGCCTCCCTCGCCGCCTGCTTCGCCGCCTTTGGCCTGTGCCGCCGCTACTGGCACGTCGTCGTCGTCCACGTCGCCATGGGCCTGCTCAACGGCAACGCCGCCTGCGTTCCTACGGTCCTTGGCGAGGTCACCGATCGCTCAAACCAGAGCAAGGCCTTCACCTATCTGCCCGTCATCTACTCCCTTGGCGGCATCACCGGCCCTGCTCTCGGCGGCCTCCTCGTCGGGCGCATCTTCGGACCCCAGTACCCATATCTCGCCCCCAATCTCTTCGCCGCCACCTTGCTGGCCCTCAGCGTCGTCGTCGTCGGCATCTGGTTCCGCGAGACCCTCGACCAGAGCGGCGTCGGGCCCTGGAAGCCCCTCTGGATCCGCCGACTCTCCTCCTGGCTCCGCCGCCCGGGCCGCCCCAAGCTCAACAGGAACTCGTGGAGTACGCGCTGGCCGCAGGGCCATGCGGACCACCGACGGCCCCTGCTCTCGCCTCCGTCCCCCTCCTCGTCTGCTGACAACGACGACGACGACGATCAAAACGACGTCGCCGCCGCCATCAATGTTGACGACGACGACGAGCTCGACAAATCCGGCTCCGGCGGCCACAAGCCCGTCTGGAGAGACCTCCTCAACCACACCACCATCACCTTGCTCGCCACCTACCTCGTCTTCCAGCTCTCCAACATCAGCTTCAACAGCTTGTACCCCATCTTCGCCGCCGCCCGGCCCCCCACGGGCCGCCAGCTCGGCCCCGGCAACATCGGCGTCAGCCTCAGCCTCGCCGGCCTCGCCACCATCATCTTCCAGGCCTTTCTGTACCAGCCCCTCCAGGCCAAGATGGGCAACCTTGGCACGTACCGGTTCGCGCTGCTCGGCATCGCCGTCAGCATGGTTCTGATGCCCTGGGTCGGCTATCTCGACGACGACCCGCCCCTCGGCATCGGGACTGGCCGGCTGTGGCTGTACGTGGAGCTTGGACTTGTCCTCATCCTCAAGAACATTTGCGCCGTTGGCGGCTTGTCGAGCGTGATGCTACTGGTAGGCCCCCCTCCACTCTCGCTACTAATGACACGGCCAGCTCCAACGCACTGCTGACATGCACCGGACAGATCACAAACTCAGCCCCCTCCCACGCCAGCCTCGGTACTCTCAACGGCGTGGCTCAGACCCTTTCCGCCCTGGGCCGTAGCTTTGGGCCCTTTGTCTCGGGCGGCCTCTTTACTCTGTCCATCAACGTCCGCCCCAAGGGTGAGGCCCTCGCCTGGAGCGTCTTTGGCGGCCTGGCCCTCGCCGGCTGGGTTGGCTCCATGTTCATCCGCGGCGTCGGCCTCGAGAGTGAGGACTGGGAGGGCGGCGACGAGGACTACGACCAGCCAGACCGCCGTAGTGGTTCCGTATAGGCAGCCGTTCTCCCGATCCCATGCCCGTCGTCTTTTGGGCATCGGGGAGCTTGTAATGCACGTAGACGAGGGAATGAGTCTAGATTTCAAAAAAAAAAAAGAAGGCGTGTTTAACGGGACATACATAGCAGACAGCCGGCGGTGAAAAGGGGGGGAGCTTTTTGCCTTGGTCAACTCCTCAGAGCTTGACCATTACTGGACTGGAGGTTCCAACACCAGTGGCAGCTTCGACATTCAAATAGTCAAAATGATTGCTACCAGAACCCTGACATCCCCTCGCGCAGAGCCAACTTGGCCAAGTACACGGCGAGGTGATACGACTCACTCCATTGCGGCCTGTAACCCGTCCAGTCCATCCACCATCAGTACCAAGTCGGCGCTCGCTGCCAATGCCGCAGCATCGTGTCAACGGCTGTATTCCACTCCTGCTCAAAGCAGGCCGCCAGCTTGGCCACATCGTCGACGCTCGGCCGCATAGGGCCCCACATCTCGGGCCGCGCCGCCTCTGCCGCCGCAAACGCGGTAATCAGCCCGTCGTCCTTGATCGTTCGGAGGCAGAGCCAGGCCAAATTCCAGCTGCGATTGCTGTTGGGGTCGCTTCTGACCCGACGGTAAGCCTCCCGTACGACGTCGCCGGAGAATGGGTAGCTCCTCGTGAGACCGCGCAACTCCGTCAGGAGCTGGTTGCTGTTGACGTAGTGAACCCAGGCTGCCGTCATGGGCTTCTGGAAGGCCTTTGCGTCGGCTTCATCCTCGCACGACGCGGCTATACGCTCGATGCGGCAGAGCTCTGTGAGCGTGTTCACTCGGTGTGTCGTGAGACAGTCGACCAGCTGCAGGATTGACGACTGGCGGGGAGAAGCCAGACAAAAGGATTAAACTCAGCATCGGGGTGAGAAGGGGGACGGTGGATATCAGATGACATTGCACTCACCTTGGGCCTGTTGGATTTGCTGCTGCCCTTGGAGCTGACACTGCCGCTGCGACTCGACGACATTGTAGTGGTGAGGTGTTATGGGCAGATATGGAATGAGGAGAAAGAGGGCTGCCGTGACTCGTCCTGGCAAGAAGACAAGATGGATGCGTTTGGAGTCGCTGGTTTCCAAGTGTCGAGAAGCTTTGAGTCGCCAAGTTGCAGCGGCTGGACGCTAGAGAGCTGCTGGGTTCCGAGGTTTAGAAGCCTCCTCCCTCTTATAGCGAGGAGTGTCTCGAGCACTTCTGGGCCTCTGCCAGCCCTGTGTTTTCAACTGTTATCAACCGTCCACGGGACTCGTGATGTGTCGGCTGAATGGGGAGTAACAACGAGACTCTGAGGCCGCACTGCATCAGCGGGCGAAAGGGAAGGCTGAAGGGGAGGGGTTCAGTTTGATACGCCACCATCATGAGGCTCTCCCCTTGCTCTTGCACGCAAAGCCGTGCCCGCCAGAAGTCCGCTCCCTTTTTACCGGCTAACTGCCTAGGGGGGCTGGGAGTGTGCTACATGACAGAAGGGGAACAAAGCGGCTTCGGCTTGTATTAAGTGCCGGCAGCCCCCCAGCAAGCCGGTCATGCTATGCGTTTTGGATCTGCTCGACGCTTTTCTCGGTGATCGGCTGCGTCAGCCGCGGCCCCAGAGTGACCAGCAGGACTCAAAGACCAGGCATGCCGGGCACCAGCCCCGTTGCGGGTGCGACAAGGAAGAGGGAAAGGAGGGGGTCCGGCTGAGAAGAAGATGACTGCCGCTGGTTGGGGGCGTTGACACACGTCGAGATGTCGCGCTTGCCGGGCTCGGCGCAGCAAAACGGGTCTTCAGAAACATCCTAAAAGGGGTAAGGGGACCGACGAGGTGGCGTCCCGAGCGAGGCAGGCCTGGGGTGCAGAGAGGACCAGACAGCCGTGGGGATGTCTAGTACGGTCTCCATGAGTGCCGGAGCAAGCGGCTGGTGCATCCTGACGTCCATGGGTTGGGTTCCGCAGTCCGTGCCCACGACATAGTTGAATTCCGCGGGGGAACGAGTCCCTGTCAACGGGTAGGAGGAGCAACAAGTTGACTGGTCAGCTTCAGCTAGGCTTCCCAGAAGAGGGGTGGGTGCATCGATGGCTGATTGAGCACCTTGACGCGCAAAGGATGAGGTTCCCTGCGAGCGTCCGATAGGCGCTGAGATGCGGTGCAGGTGAAGCCTTCTGTCGAGGCTTGTACCCTCATACGCCAGGCCCACGTGGGACGGGCAGATTCCGCCCAAGGCCGTCGTCAGCAGGCGCGGAAGCTTTGCTGATCACAGTCTGCGAAGCAACGGGGGGCGCGCTTCGCTTGCGCCGATGGCGCCGCCCGCGCTTGTGAGCGGTGCTGACGAGAGCGGGCCGACGCTGTGACAGCCACGCCAGGGGACCACCGGTGAGGTGAGACGAGCTGTCTTGTCCCCCTCTGGGATGCCTCCTGGACGTTGGTTGCTATTCTCAGCTCAGCCCTATGCTGCCCTGGCTGGCCTTGACGACGCTCGAGGAACAAGGACAGAGTTCGGCGGTCCGTCGTTTCAACAGGAGTGGCTTGGCGTCCAATATCCGTGCCGTCTGTCAGTTGGCAGTTGGCAAAAGCATGCCGCCATTGCCGCGTCTCTACGGAGTAGTGCGGCCCAAGCAAGAAGGGCCCGGGGGCTGTCGATCCTCGTCTGGCTTGGCGTGCTGAAACAATAGACAGGTTCCTGGGTCATTTCGGGTTTTGACGTGCTCCAGAAGAGTGTCGGCGACGAAGAGGAGGAAGAAGAAAGGAAAGACCAGGTCCTACCGTATTCCGTGGTGTGCAGCGAGCAAAGGTAGCCAGTACAGGCACTAGCCGCTCCAGCCTGGCACGGCAACTCCCGCTCGGCCGCGAATTCCGTGCTCCGCTCATGTACCGTGTACTCGACGCCCGCGGCGTGGCCGGATAAACACCGGTAATACTAGATCCTCCCCGATCCGAGGCTGCAATGCCAGCTCGTCGAATCCAACCAGGCCATTGACCACGACGTCGCCCAGCATGTCTATGTTTCGCGCCAAGAAGCTCGATCTGGGCTGCTTCATCAAGCCGCGGACGATCCGCGACCACACCAAGCGCAAGGTCTTTGAGGACTTCGAGACGCAAAGGTCCCCCCTCTCCTTGGTCCACGACAAGACACCCGTACTGACAGAGGCAAACGATCAGACAAGCGCTTCGCTACATTATCCGAAACACCACTCTTCCGCCCCGGGTGCGCGCCGAGGCTCAGCTGCAGCTTACCCAGACGCACGCCTACACGCGCCCGACGCAGATCCGGAATCGGTGCATCATGGGCGGCAAGGGTCGCGGCATCCTCAGCGACTTCAAGATGTCGAGGGTTAGTGCTGATGCCGGCTTGGGCTTGCCATGCACGACATCTAACCACGCGCAGTTCAACTTTCGACTAGAGGCTATGGCCGGCAATCTGCCCGGTGTCAAGAGGGCAAGCTGGTAAGGTGACACCGGCTCTATATTGAGAGGGGGATGGACGAGTCTGGACATGCCGTAGGATCGCAATGGCAGCGTTATACAATTGAACATGACGAAAACTACCGTGAGGACGGGATGCTTGTCAATGGCTTTCTGTGTTCCAGGCATCACAGACAGACACTTGATGTGTCGTTGTATGATTTGGCAAGGGTTCCGGATGCATGACAATTACCTTGTAAACCAAATATTTTCCATGACACGCCAGATTCACAGGCAAAAGGAAGAAAATAAAGTCTCGTCTACCGGGGGCAAGCATTGGCGACAAGTATTAATGGCTTTTTGCTGCCTAAAAGCGTGAGGTCATATGAGGCAAAAAGTGCACCAATGACTCTACTCTACGGTGCGATATTCACAGTGCGGACGCGGCAAACTCTCAACGCACTAGGTACCTCCATTCATTGTAGTCCCCCAGCCTCGCCACGCTCGCTCCGCAACTTCCTTCAACTTCGTCGCACACAAACGCACCAAGCTCCAACACTGCCATTTCCTCTTGCTCACGCAGCCTCGCCTCTATCCCTCTCCGACTTGAGACAAACTACAGACCACTTCCGCACATTGCACCACTGCCCTTTCCCCGAATAAAACCACACAACCGCCACCATGGGAGGCGGCGATCTCAATCTCAAAAAGTCGTTCCACCCGACGCTGAGACGTAACCAGGCGGCCGTCTACGATGAGGAACAAAAAGCCCTCGCCGAGCGCAAGCGAACCCAGCAGCGCATCAATGAGATCAAAGAGGAGCGAGCAAAGGAAGAGCTCCAGCGGCAACTCGAGGCTGCGGGCGGCAGGAAACGAGTCGACCGCGTCGACTGGATGTACCAGGGCCCAACCGATGGCCAGGCCGGCACCACCGAAGAGCAGGAGGCGTACCTGCTGGGGAGGCGCAGGATCGATACCCTGATCAAGGGCACAGAACACAAGAACCTGGAAAAAGCGGCCGGCCAAGAGAGCTTCATGGCCCTCCAAAACGCCAACAGTGCCCGCGACACGGCCGCCAAGATCCGAGACGACCCTCTGCTGGCCATCAAGCGTCAGGAGCAAGCAGCCTACGACGCCATGATGAACGACCCAACCAAGCGGCAACAGCTGCTCTCCTCGATGGGTATCGGAGGTCAAGAAAAGAGCCACAGGCCAAAGGAAAAAGATGGCAAGCACAGACGGAAACATGACGGGCATCGGAGTCGTGATGCGGACGAAGACGCTCATCGGTCCCGTCGCCGCCATCGCTCAATCTCACGCTCCCGCAGTCCCCGGCGCCACCGCGACGACTCTGAAAAGCACGAGCGCCACCGCAGGCACAGGCGGTCGCGGGATGGACCGGGGGGTTGCCAACTCGGAACTGGCCGTCGCAGAGATTGTGACGAGCACCCACCTGACTCTAGATCTGACCAAGAGCGCTCGCGCCTACGCAGCGCGTCTCCCAGTGGACGTTACGGACGCTGGAGTGACGACTCACGCGAACAAGCTCCAGAGCGTCAAAGACGGCGAGACCAAAGCCACCGGGGGAGCCACAGAGACGCTCCCAGGTACAGCAACGCTGGACCACGAGCCAGAAGGGAAGAAAAAGACGAACGTGACGTGGACTCTGAACGCGCGCGCAAGCTGGAAGCCATGCAATCGGCGGCATCGCAGCTGGACCAAGACCGCTCGGCCCGGCTCGCAGCACTAGAGGATCGCGAGCGTGCTGCACGAGAGGCCGACAACAAAGCACGGGAGCGTGCAGGGGAGCGGGGCTTCGTCAATGGGCTGCACAAACAGGCAGAGAAGCTCGATCTTGCGGAGAGGATGGGAAGGGGCCGGCAGGGCTACCAGAGAGACGACGACTGAGCAGCTGGCAGTGACATTTGCCTGAAGGCACTGGGTGCCTATTTCTTTCATGGATGGGACGCGGCATGGAAGCGATTTATTGCAGTTTGGGAATAGATTTTGCACTCGAACGGAAGCGATGTTGCATCCTTGTAAATAGCAATCAACATGACAGCTGCACAAACACATGTTGAAGATGATTTCCTTGTGCCAGCGCTGGAAACTGACCTCACGAGCAGCCAAAATGAACAGTAGCCAGTCGGAGGCCTCGGAGGCCACAGAGGCCACAATAGCTTAGACTTGAAAGAGTGCAAAGGTTGAGTAGCCATTTCCGGGCTTCATGTGCAGGCACAGAGAGGCAAGTATAGAAGAGAGATCGGGGGGTTAACAGATGGGCACCGAGATTTGTGAGTGCTTTGCTAGCGACAAAGATATAGTAGATCACGTGCGCAGGTCGAACAAGTGTCCCCTCTTTTGCTGTGCTTGTTGATGGCGAAGGATGTAATTTTCATGCATGCTTGGGATCGCAAATAGGCATAGGCAATCAACCTTGGCTGTCTGGTCAACAAGGCATTGATGAGGCTTGTTTTGTTGCCGCGGTCAACATCCACCTGGTCCTTGCTCCATCACTGCCGTCACCTGCTTGCAGCTTTACACTCAGGCTGCCTGTCAAACCCTCTCCACTCGCCGGTAACCTTGTTAAGTTTTTGCTTGCTTTTCTTGTCATGGGCACGACGAGGCGCCACCTTGGCTTCCAATCCCGCTGGTGGTGGACGGCCAAAGTGGTGACCTCGGCGGTACATGCGTCGAGGCTAATGGCTTGGCTTCGGCCCGCCCCTTGACGTCTCTTTTGAGGACGCAACTTCAAGTGTCAAGTAGCTGCCAAGTACCCGGTAGAGGGTACAACGGGGCCCATTCCCATATTACATGAGCTGGGTCCCTTTTCCCACTTCCTGACCTCATCATCCATCCATCCTCCATCTTCGCCTCCGTATCATCTTGTCTGCCTCTTGCGCTGCCACGCCTCCCTCTACGCCGAACCGATCCTCATCGCTTGCGCCCGCCTCGACGATTTCTGCTTGTCGCCCTCGATACTTTTGCATTCCGCGCCTCAACACGAATCCCCAACCTGGGCCAAACAATCAACGATTCTCGACGACTCTCGACGACTCCGATCCCATTCTGCCGACAAGAAAGAAGCACTTTTTGCCCCTGGCACTCGGCCAACCCAGTCTCCGTTGCCACCACATCGCCGAGTCGAGATGCCTGTTCTCTGCGGTGGATCCAAGACGGTCCAGCGCAAGCTGGTGCTGCTGTAGGTGCCGCCGGTTCCATGGGGGACTGCACGGGTGCTGATGCGATGAAAACAGGGGCGACGGTGCCTGCGGCAAGACTTCGCTGCTCAACGTCTTCACCAGAGGGTATGCTGTCCCACACCCGCGACCAGCATCAATCACCCCCCGCTGACGATCCGCCGCAGTTATTTCCCGACCGTATACGAGCCCACAGTGTTTGAAAACTACGTTCACGGTGCGAGACGATGCAAGAGACGACTGGTGACATGGACGCTAACCACAGCAACAGACATTTTCGTCGACAATGTACACATAGAGCTGTCTCTCTGGGACACGGCCGGCCAAGAAGAGTTTGATCGCCTGCGGTCTCTGTCGTACGGTATGGCACCTCCGCCCGCCCCCTCCCCGAGACTCGCCTGCTGACAGTGGTTGCCCCTCCCCAGACGATACCGACCTCATCATGCTATGCTACTCGGTCGACAGTAAAGATTCCCTCGAAAACGTCGAGTCCAAGTGGGTTGGGGAAATCGCAGACAACTGTCCGGGCGTCAAGCTGGTCCTGGTCGCGCTCAAGTGCGACCTCCGCGAACAGGGCGACGAGGAAGAGGCCGGCGGCGGTGGCGAGCAACGCGAAAAAGGTCCCCTCATCAACTACGACCACGGCCTCGAGGTGGCCCGGCGGATAGGGGCCACGCGATATCTCGAGTGCTCGGCCATGAGGAATCGAGGCGTCAACGAAGCCTTTACCGAAGCCGCCCGCGTGGCCCTGAGCGTCAAGAAGGAGCGCGACGAGAACAAGTGCACCGTCATGTGAAGGAGCGATTGCTTGATGCCCTCGCACAAACCACGCCCGTCCTCGCACGGGCTCGGCCTGTCGCATCCTGCCCGACTCACCTGATGTGCTCGCTTCTTCTTTTCTCTTGGCTTTCAGACGGGTGTATATATACGCGGCGGCGCATTTTCTGCTGGGCTTGTATGGCTTTCTAATGTTGCGGTTATTTATTCCTGGGTTTTGCTTGTTTGTCATCTTGGCGAGTGGGAGCCGAGGTCTGGCTGGGGAGCGGGTGCCATGAGGGGTTTTCATGTCTCGAGCCGGCTCGTTGGTTGTTTCCCTTTGCTTGTTTTGCTTGAAGGATTCATGGGTTTGGCTCAACCGTTGCCTGCGATTACCATTTTACTCCATAGCTGAAATGTTCAGTCACTATGACGGATCGTTGATGTCTATGAAGGTGCTTGGTGCCTGTCCGACTCGAGGCGGCTACGTGCAAGGCCAACCCACACTGGCGTAGGCGCGCCCTCTGACGGCGCATCCCAAGCCCTGACCCTGTTTCCTAGAAGAGCTCAACTGGGCTGTCGGCCTCGTGGTAATGCCGGGACGATAGACGTAGACGTGAGCTCTTCTATTCGAGTCGGTCCCCGCCCGCCGCCAGCATGTGCCTGGCCTTTCCGTCGATCTCTGGGTCTGGTTGGAGGATGCGAGGCTCCGTCCCGCGCTCAGCTCTGTTTGTACATTGGAGATATTTTCTCTTGACATGATATGCCTGCGGACAAGACCTAGAGATATGGTGACATGGCCACGTTCGGGGACGTGGTGCTGTGCCGTGGAAACAGATGCTGGTGGGCCGGAGGCTTGTTGTACGGCGGAACAGGCTTCGTACTGCAAAAAGCGAGGAGAGATGGATGGCTGCCATTATTTACTTTTCCAAGCTCATGTCGATACCCTCGACAGGTCCTGACGCTCCAAGCCAACGGTAATTTAGTAGGCAGCCATGCCTCTTGACTGTATCGAACCCAGCCTTGACTGACCGGACAGTCAACAACTCAACATACGGCTACCTGCCGTTCTCGTCATCTTCTCCACATCCACGGCAGTTTTGTTGTGGAGAAGGGTGACGAGTACAGTATCCAGCATGTGAAGACGGCGGCGCCCGTCTGTCCGCACCCGAGAGTCCGGGGCCGGGCCGGGCCAGGGCTCCACCTCCCGGTCGGCGCACGGATGCAGCGCTCTCTGCCTGCGTCGAGTTCTGTCGAGCGAGTTATGTAGTCTTTTGCGAAGCTGGCTAACCTAGGGATTGATGGGAATGCGTGGGAGACTGGTGCAAGGCGATGGATGCAAGCTGTTTGTCATGTGCTACGGAAGGGCTGGGCCGTGACCAAGTACGGCGGCGGGTTGCTGCAGGCTGCATGCAAGATGAAGTGCGGAGTTGGACGTATCAAGCCTCGTTCTCCATGACACCGTCGACCGTGGCATTTGCCTCGGGCCGTACGTGCAAGGGCTGCTGCTGCCTTGGACCATGCAGCTGATCTGCATGATACTCTGTGCTGTAGACAAATGCCTCGGAGCACGGAGACAGGGCCGGGGATAAGACCGACCAGCCGGCATCCAATACTTGCCTGCACAAATACGGCAGAGGGTCCCGCTGCTAATGCAATGCCGGCAGCAGGCGAGAGTAGAGAGCGGGCAATGTTGGTTCGCCCGTGGGGACTGAACCCAGCAGCAACAAAGCAATAATACCGCAGAACCGTTCCTACAGTGCGAGCACATCGCAGCTATCGTTCATCAGTCACCGGCAAAGGATGTACTGTCCTGTAGATGACGATGACGAGCGAGAAGGCGGGCAAACTACAAGAGTGCTGGCTCCAGCAATAGGCCGCGGGCCATCGTGCTATAACGCCTTTCCTCATCGCCACTCCTCGGACGCCCCCCCCTTTTGGCTGGCGCCGACAAGGGGCACGGCGCGGCAGCCCGTTGAGGCATTGAGCCAGTATTGCCCCGAGCGGGCCCCCTTGTTGGCCAAGCCTCATCCAGCATCTGGGTCCAATTTGCAAAGCAAATGAAAGCGACTCTGCTCGTCGTCGTCGTCCCCTTCGTCTTGGCAGCCTGGCTAATGCAGTGGCGGAGTAACGAATACGGCTTCCTTGTTTTACTTTGCCCACGGAACCAAATATAGGCACCAGCTCGTTGGAGCGTGGAGAAGAGGCGTTCGTCCTCCCATGCCCCCCCCCACCGACAGATACGTCGATCTGCTGTCCCATTATGTACGGAGCACGAGGAAGAGTTCCTTTTTTTTTTTTGGCTCCGACGCGTTGGTTGGCGAATGCCTGGATGTGGCTCCCCGGGGCCTCTTACAGTACCGTCCACGGCACACCGGATTATTATATGTTGGAGACAACCCGGTACGAAAAGGGACGCGCAAGCTTGGAGCCTTCCTTTTTACCAATGGCTCCGTTCTTGGCAGCAGGAGGCAAACATGCGCGCTCCCTCGCTCTCCTGATCACGTAGGTAGGTGGCGGGACTGGGACTCAAGGGACTCAAGGGAGGCAGGCCAGGGAGAGTAAGAGAGTGAGAGAGTGAGAGAGAGATCAGAGATCGGCTCTCTGCATGCTGCAGGTCCCGGCCCGCCGTGATTGCATCGGCATCGTGCACAAGATGCGAGCCCCTGCATACTCTGCGGCAAACCGTGCATATATGCCTGCATCTCCCTCCCCCCTGTCGACAAATCCCCGCATGCCATCATCCCATCCCCATTACAAACACACGCATTCTCCCCTGAAATTTGCCATGAAGCAACAGTGCGCACGCAGCCAACTCTCATGGCGAGGCGACGACAGCTACCCGCCGACTCATGGGGGCCTCGGACTCAGACTCCTTCGCGCCAGCTGCAGAACCCTCCCTGGCCCGGGGGCTGCAGACTCCCAAACAGACATGTCCCCCCCCCTAGACAAGGGTTCGCCGCTCAGAAGCAAAACAAAGAAGAATCCGCATGTAGGTCGTCGACCGGTACAGGGGGGGGTGGAGGGGAGGAGGAGGAGGAGACAATGTCCGGGGGTGAGCTCGCCGCGGCTTCACATCCGAGAGACACCGACTGGCCGTGGTAGTTGGTCGGTGCTGTATCCGTAGGACGTCAGGTATTAGAACGCAGTACTCGCGAGACCCTGGCGGTATGCACCAGGGGATATCTGCCATCTACTGCCTCCGTTAGTGCTTCGGACATATCTCGTCCGTCTCCCTCTCTCGTTCTCCCCCCTCCTTTCTTCCGCTCGCCCCCTTGTCGCGCAACGCGTTTGCGTCCTTTTCTATCCCGTCGCTCGCCCATTCACCCGTCGCTCTTTTGCCTGACGGCTTGGTTCCAACTTCCTTTCCGTCTTCCTCGCTTGTCCGACCAGAGTCACTCCTTGGCCTCCGAAGGGCCGAGTCCACCGCCGGGGCACGCTTTTGACCTCGCCTCGCGCGTCAGGCTTCCGTCTCGTGTGTACGCCTCTCGACCGAGGGGATCCATTCACGCACCGCATCTCTCTCGTCGACCATCGCTCGGCTGCCGCGCCCCCGACCTGAACTCGCTGCTCCAGTTCCCCACCCTGCACGACAGCTCTACCGAGTGTCATTGCTTGCAAACAGTGTCTTTGCCTTTCGCAAGGCTTGCTCGACTCGTCCTCCCCCCATCCTCGCCCCTGCTGGTAGGAGGACAGGCAGACGGGAGCTCCGTCTGTCACACAGAGGCCCCTTGTGCTCACACGCTTGATTGCTCCCCAAGGGATATCCAACGCCGCTCCCATCCCGGGCCATTGTTCTCTTCCCCGGAGCCGACAGGATCCATAACGGCCTCACTCACTCACACCAGCACCGCCCATAATGCTGCTGAGACAACTCCTGGCCTCGGCCCTGCCCCTCGGGCTGGCCGCCGCCCAGGTCCAGACCAAGTGCAACCCGCTCGAGCGCGACGGCTGCCCAGCCGACCCGGCCTTGGGCGCCGACCACCTCTGGACCTTTGACCACGCGCCGCCGAGCGAGCTGTGGGAGACGACGGCGGGCGTCGTCAAGTACGACGCCCAGGACGGCGCCGCCTTCACCATCCGCAAGCAGGGCGACTCGCCCACGCTCCGCACAAAATTCTACTTCTTCTTCGGCCGCACCGAGATCTGGCTCCGCGCCGCCTCGGGCCGCGGTATCGTCAGCTCCATGATGTGGCTCAGCGACGACCTCGACGAGGTCGACTGGGAGTTCCTCGGCTCCAACACGACGCACGCGACGACAAACTTCTTCGGCAAGGGCCGCCAGGACTTCCACAACGGCGGCGCCCACCCGATGACGGGCATCCAGGACGACTACCACAACTACACGACCGTCTGGACGCGGGAGCAGATCGACTGGTACATCGACGGCGGCCACGTCCGCACCCTCAGGGCCGTCGACGCCAACAACACGGCCAACTACCCCCAGACGCCCATGCGCATGAGCATCGGCATCTGGGCCGGCGGCGATCCGTCGCTCCCCGAGGGCACTCGCGTCTGGGCCGGCGGCGACACCGACTACGCCGGCGGGCCGTACACCATGTATCTGAAAAAGGCAAAGGTCACCGATTTCAGCACCGGAAGCGAGTACACGTACGGAGACCGGTCCGGCAGCTGGCAGAGCGTCAAGATCGAAGGGTGAGTTGAGCTCTCTTCCCCCCTCGCTCTTGTCTCCCTTTCCCCATGTCGAAGACGGCGTGGAGAGGCATGTGTGAAAGGTCGACAAGAAGAAGAAGGCAAACGAGCCCGTCACTAACAATCCTAGCGGCAACTCGACCGCCGCCACGTTCCTCAACGAGGAGCCCGAGAAATCCACCCGCGAAAGGTGGCACGGCCTGTCGCGCACCACCAAGATCGCCGTCGGCACGGCCGTCGGCACAGTCGGCGCCCTCGCCATCGCCGGCCTGCTCCTGTACTTCCTGCGCCAGCGCCGCATCGGCGCCAAGGAGTCGCGCCTCGCCGACCAGCGCGCAGAGGCCGAGCGCGTCGAGATGGAGCAGTTTGAGCACAAGGGCTTCGACCCGGATGGCTACTCTGCGCACCGCGGCGGCGGGATGCAGCAGCAGCAGCAGCAGCAGCAGCAGCAGTATAGTGACGACGATGGCGACAATGACCGTGGCTCGCATAGGGGCGGCGGCGCCGACCACAGCAACGACGCAGACTCGTACCACGTCCCCGAGACGACGACCGCCAGCCCCCTCGGAGCCGGCTCCTGGAGCGGCTCCGTCGCCGGCAGCGCCGCGTCGAGGACCTCGGGCGCTACCCTCCAGAGCCCGCGCGTCGGCAGCCCAGCCCCGTCGTCCCACTACCGCGACAGCAACAACGCGCTGGGCTTCGACTTTGGCGTCCCGCCCCTGAGCCCCGTCCAGCAGCAGCCGTCGCGCTCCGGCAGCCCCATGGCCGGCGCCGGCGGCGTCACCCGCGCCTCCACCCCGCTGTCCCGCTCCCAGAGCCCCGGCCTGCCGCCCCCGGGCCCCTTACCGTCGCCGCGGAGCCAGATGCGCATGGATCCGGTATCGCGAATGGGCTCGCCGGCGCTCGGGATGCATAGTCCCCCGGGCCCCGCCAGTCCCGGGCGGAGCATCTCGGAGGGCCGGCAAGGACCCCAGGGCGGGCACCAATGAACAAATCGTCAGAGAATGAGACAAATAAAACCAGAATGATGACAGAAGAAAAAAACAGGAAGCGTTCTGCAGAGAAGCTGTCATGCACGGTCTGGCGTGGCAAAGCGTGTGCTTTTGATACCAAAGCTGCTGGCGTCGAGAGGGAGGGAGGGAGGAGGCAAGTTTGTGCAGTACCGTGACGGCCTCGGCTTCTATTTTTTTTTTAATCTCGGCCCCCATCTCGGGCTCAGCAGGGGACGGCGCTCGTTGTCATAACGCCACGAGGTGCCGTCTTTTTTTTCTCTTAGCCGTATTAGAAAATTATAAGGATATCTGGCTAGTGGCAAACCTGGTCTTGACGTGAATGCTGTCTGGCATGGGGCACGTGGGCAGACACGGCGTCGGAGAGGAGAAGCAAGTCTATTCCCAAGCCGCTAACAAAGGTATTACATACAAGCAAGGTTGAACCACGCTTACCCTACACCGCAGAGTAAGACACAGCTTACCGGCCCTCGACCTGCTTGAGGAGGCCGGCGAGGTTGATGCTCTTGGGCCGCTCAATGGGCAGGCCTAGGGCGCGGTCCCAGACGAGCTGAGCGAGTGGCCCGAGGCCGCGCGAAACTCCAAAGGTGGCCGTGTAGTAGAGGGTCTCAGTAAAGCCGTAGTGGTGGAAGAGAACGCCCGATGAGGAGTCGACGTTGGGGTAGGGGTTCTTTGTCTTGCCGTGCTTCTTGAGCACCTCGGGCGCGATGCGGCTGTTCTTCTCGACGAGCTGGAAGACGGGGTCGTTGGCAATCTCGGGCCGGGCGGCGGCGTAGTCCATGAGGGCCTCGAAGCGCGGGTCGGGCTTGCGCAGGACGGCGTGGCCGTAGCCGGGGACGACGCGGCCCGAGTTGAGCGTCGACCACAGGTAGTCGTGGATGTCCTGCTCGGTGTACTTGTCGGGGATATTTTCCTTCATCTGGATGATCCAGCGGAGGACCTCTTGGGCGGCGAGGCTGCGAGGGGAGGGGCCGGGTCAGTCAAGGACGCCTCTTGGTCAGGGATGGTGTTCACAAGGGGATTTACCCGTGCAGCGGCCCGGCGAGACCCTGAAGGCCGGCGCTGTAGGAGAGGAAAGGGTCGCTCAGGGCGCTGCCGACGAGGTGAGTGGCGTGTGCAGAGACGTTGCCGCCCTCGTGGTCGCCATGGAGGGCGAGGTAGAGGCGGAGGAGGTCCTGGAAGTTTTCGTTTTCGCGGCCGCCTTTGCCGAGCATGGCGGCGAAGTTGTAGGACCAGTCCTGGGCGGGATCGACCTCGGCAGGCAGGGCGCCGCCGCCGCGGTAAGCGTTTTGGTAAATCTTTGCGGCAATGGTGGGCAGCTTGGCAAGGAGGGAGATGCAGTCGTCAAAGGTGGGCTCCCAGTAGTCGGCCTTGTTGAGGCCGCGCTCGTAGGCACGCGCAAACTTGGACTCGTAGCTCAGGGCCGAGACGGCCATGGCAAACTGCGTCATGGGGTGCAGGTCGCGGGGGAAGTCGTCGAGCATCTTTGCGACAAAGGGCGGAATGGCGGCCTTTTCGGCCAACTCGCGCGACAGCCCGCGGACCTGGGAGACGGAGGGGACGCGGCCGGTGAGCAGGAGCCAGAACATGGCCTCGGGCAGCATCTCCGTGCCCGAGGTGCCCTTTGGCAGCTCGCGCTGGCAGTCCTTGATGGTGCGGCCGTGGAAGCGGATGCCCTCGTTTGCGTCGAGGACAGAGCCCTCCCAGACCATGGCCTTGAGGCCGCGCATGCCGCCGAGCGTGTTTTCGACCTTGACCTCGCCGATTGTCTTGTCGGCGTGGGCCTTGACCCTTTTCAACAGCTCGCGCTTGGCCGGGATGACGTCGCGGAGCGTTGCCTTGAGATCCGGCTCGGCCGTCGAGTAGCTGCTGCGGCCGGTGCCGAGGGGGCTGTTGGCGGCGACGAGCGGCTGGCTACGTTAGAGGGGCCCGTTGTAGATGTCGAGAGAGACAGACGGCGCACCTTGATGGAGCTCAAGGCCCGGCGGCCAGAGCATCTCAGACGGAGGGCCATGGTTTTGCGGATTGGTGACGCTGGATGGGCCGGAGAGGAGGGAGGAGAATTGCGTGGGTAAATCGAGGGGGAGACGTTGGGGAAAGGAAGGGAAATCCGGGGTCAGCCTTTTTCCTTTTCCCGCCAGCCAATTCGTAACTTATGCGTACCTCGGCTTGACTCACCGGGTCAGAGCAAGGAGTTAGAATTGACTGGCTGCTCGAGACGGAAGAGGGGGGGAAGAGACAGCCGAGGGAACCCGTCGTGGGCCGGACTAGCGGATCGCCACGGCAGCTCGTGGTTGGCTGCGAGGATGCAGGGGCCTAATGCGAGACTGCCGACGCCTGCATGTTCAACCATGTCTTGGCTTGGCTTGGGCAGAGAGAAGGCTGTAACCCTTTCATTTAGAAGTCTGGCTATTTCATAAAGCAAATTATAGCTTCTGCTTCTAAATCGAAGCCGGCCTTTCGCATCTCCAGACTCGTCGCTTAGGTAGACATAGTCGACTTGATGCTGTCCAGCTCGATGAGCTTGCCACTGCTTTTCCTCGAGCTTATCCCCTGTTCCTCCTCCTCGCCCAACGCCGCCCTTGTCGTCATCGTGGGAACGTCATCCTCATCAGTGGTGCTGGCCGCAGTGCTGGCCCTCGCCGACGATGACTGCCGGTTGTGAGGCGGGTCGTTGGTGGCGGGCACATATCTAGCCACCGCCAACTCCTCGCTGTGTGACTGAGGCGACAGCTTGCAGTAGCCATTGCCGCCGCGATGCTTGCAGTCCCCGTTCTGGCACACGTGGCCACAAGTGCACGCCGCGTTTCGGCACGCGCCGCGCTTGCCACATGGCATGGACCGCGCCAGCGACTCGAGTGCCTGCTTGAAGCCCTCCTCGAGCGGACCGTGGTCGTAGCCACAGTGGTCGCCCGCCTCGCAGAAGCCGTTGAGGTGAAAGTTGTTGCATACCCGCTGCCTGCTGATGTGTGCCTTGAGTCGGCTGAGGATCTCGAGGCCAGACGGTGGTATGTAAGGATCAAGACGGAAGCCGTTCTTGTTGACTGCCACCTGGCCTTCGGGTATGTTACCTTTTTTGGGCAACGCGAGAACGTCGAGCCCGGCCAGGAGCGAAGTCGCATGCGCACTATATCCGTTCATAAAGTCAGTGGCCACATCTGAACGCATGTTGAACAGTGGCGGAGTTCTGCGTCTGGGCTCCTGTAGGGAGCCACCGGCGGCCGACTGGGGGTCATTAGTCGTTGACCTCCATGTTGCTTTTGAATTCGTCGCATCTTCGATGTGAAGATTCTTGCAGGCCTTGCCGTACTTGCACCGTCCAGACGAGTGAAATCGGCAAACGGCCTTTTGCCCGTCTGTTCTGGTAGGGGCTTGGTCTCCCAGCGACCATGTAGGGGCCCCTCCGGAGGCAGCCCTGGCGGATGAGAATACAGGTGGCGGAGCCCGATGCAGGGCAGTCCCGTCCAGTGGGGTCGACCGGAAGACGCCAGGCAGCTCCTCGATGCCTAGGTCGAGCTTGGTGAATTCGTCGTGGAACTTGACGCCAGGGGTGTTGATTAGAGTGAAGCGCCCATAATTCCCCATGTAAGGCACAAGGTCGGAAATGTATCCGACGTCATGGCAAGCGGCAAAGTAAATGTGCTTGCACTGGGTGTTTTCGGCCCACAGGTTCATCATGGCGCGCAGCTTGAAGTCGGCATTCTCCTTCAAGTCGCCCGCGTCGACAAACTCGGCGAGGCCGTAGGAGCGGTTGAAGCTGGCGACAAAGGGAGCAAGAGAGCGCCTCTCGGTCCCCGCTAAACCAACCTTGTGGAGCGTCTTGGACAGGCCAGCGAGGTTTGCGTAGATGCGCACCATGACCTGGCAATGCTCGAGGCCCTTGAGCTGAAGACTGGCCTTGATGGACTCGTGGAGCAGCTGTGCAGCATGGCTGCCGCCATCAGCGCCCTTGGACAAGAGGCTCTCGTGGAAGACGTAGCCGTCGCCGTCGACGAGGACGAGGACAAACGGGTTCCGCTCCTGGCCCCGGGCCATCTGCTTGTACTTTTCCCGCGCATCTCGCTCCTCCTCGTAGTCGCTCTTGAGGCGCCTGTAGCCCTCGAGCAGGGCCGAGTACTTGTCGAGGATGTCTGGCAGGGCATTGTTGGTGCGGTAGTCGGCGAGCTGACTCGCGGCTCGTTCGATGTCGGGGTCGCTGAGCATCGTGGCGCGAACTGTGGATCCAACGAGTGGATGCGAGCTTTCCAAGCCAGCGTCAGCTTATTAGCTGCAGCATCAAGACGGAGCCACAATGCTACCCTGCTGGCCAGGTCTTACTGTGTCTCCGGACGCCGTCCTGTAGGGACCAATGGCTCGGTCGGTGAGGTTGAGAGGCCGACGGGAATGATGCGACGACGAAGAGTGGGCAGCAAAAGGCCCAAGGCCCGAGCTTGCTACACAATCATGAAAAGATCGTACGAGTCGGGTGCCTTAGCTAAGCATCGAAGCCGTTGTGCCTGGTGCCCCTGGTGCCCCATTCTCTCCGCCACATGACTAAGACACATGGCTGAGACATGCAGAAAAGGGTGCCCACCCCGAGGGTGCCTTTATTATTAGCATGTCTCCACTCTCCAACAATGGGAATCGGCGATAAAGATGTCACCAAGAGAGGCAAGAAGTCTGCAACTCTACCGCAAGGTACCCCAGTCTATTGATGCCCAATCACAACTCGCTCCAACTCGTATTAGCTTATTGGCCTCTTTTCCTCTTCTCGGCAGCAAAGGGACGACCGCTCCTTGGTCCTCTACGCTTTGTCCTTGTCATTGCGCTCTGCTTCATAACCTGCTCCATAACTTGAACCCATGGTGGTATCAATACTGCCCTGCTACTGTAATGCCATCCGACGACATGCGCCTACGGCTAGTGACTCGCTTGCCGAGGAATACTGACTCATTCGCCGCACAATAGCAATCAATGTCTTGATGCGGGGAGTTGGTCGCTGGTTGCCACGACTCAAAGAAGCTCACTCGGCTCTTCCTGGCTGGCCAGAAGCTCGCCGACTGATTCCCCGAAGCATTGACGCTTTGACTCGCCCAAATAATGTCGACAACGCCATGGAACAAGCCAATCCTCGCTCGACAGCGCTCCTCTTCCAACTTCATCGTAACCACAGTCTCGGTCGCCGTCTTCACTGTATATCCTGACCTCACTCCCATCACCGTTGCACGCTCTGACCGCCAGCCAGGACATCTTCCTCTATGCCGTCATTATTCCCGTCCTGCCATTTGCCCTGACCGACCGAATTGGCATCCCAAAGGATGACGTGCAGCACTGGGTTTCCGTATCGCTCGCAGTCTTTGCCGCCGCCGTGCTTTGCTCGTCACGTTGGTCGTCCTCATCACCTACCAAGAACTCACAGCTGATGAAAAAGTAGCCACCTTTGGCTATGTCGCCGACTGCACCCAGAGCCGCCGAATCCCCATGCTCCTTGGCCTCGTCCTGCTGCTCGGCACCTCCCTCCTTCTCTGCTTCAGCACCAACATTGCCATGCTGCTCATTGGCAGAGTCCTCCAGGGCATGTCTGCAGCCATGGTATGGAGTGTCGGGCTGGCACTCGTCGTCGACGCTGTTGACGGCCAGAAGCTCGGCGAGGCAATGGGATGGGTCGGCTCGGCCACTAGTTTCGGAACCCTGGTTGCGCCGTTGCTGGGCGGTCTCGTCTACTCAGGCGCGGGATACTATTCCGTGTTCGCAATGTGCTTTGCCCTAATTGCCCTCGACGTCGTGTTACGGCTGTGCATCATTGAGCCCAAAGACGCAAAGCGTTGGCTCAAGGCCCAGGAACCAGAACGAGAGCCCCTCATTGCTGAAGCAGACGGCATCGGCACGCGCGAAAGACGGGATCAGCCAAATACAGGGTCATCTGCCGAGACCAATGCGACCGAACGGCCTACAAGCCCGTCACTAAAGAAGCTGGCGCATCTGTTGAGCAAGCCCCGCCTCCTCGCTGCTCTTTTCGGCACAGTCATCGAGTCTGGCGTCCAAACGTGCTTTGACAGCACGCTACCCTTGTTTGTCTCGTCCACGTTTGGCTGGGAGGCCACCGGCGCCGGACTGGTATTCCTAGCCCTCATTCTGCCGACGTTCCTTGGTCCCTTTGCGGGAGCCTTGAGCGATCGATACGGTCCGAAATGGCCGGCCACGATTGGGTTACTGGCGGCGGCACCGCTTTTGGTGTGCCTGCGGTTTGTGACCGAGAATACCATCGGCCACCAAGTCCTGCTATGTGCGCTGTTGGCGGGCATTGGACTATCTTTGACTTTTGTCTTTGGCCCTCTCATGGCAGAGATTACCTGGGCTATCCAGGAAGGCAGTGACGACCCCACCGTGGAGCCCTACGCACTGGTCTATGGCCTGCACACCATGTCTTTTTCCGTTGGCGGGATACTGGGTCCCGTGCTGGGCGGTCTGATCCGTGACAGGCTCGGATGGCCGACCATGGGGTTGGTGTTTGGCGTGGCCAACGTTGTGGCGTCCGTCGTGCAGATTATTTGGACTGGGGGCCCTTTGAGGTTAAGTGCAGGCCAATCAGCGTAGATGTGGTTTGTTGCTACTCAAATGTTGCCGCTGGACTGCTGGTGCTGTGCTTTCTACTTCTAAAAGGGCGTGGTCTCGGTGGCACGCCTGACAAGGTTGCATTTGCTACTCGAGGCTGGACCTGCTTGCCCGCCTGAGGCCCTCTATGATTGCAAGACGGAAAGGCGACAGGTGCTACGAAGAGTGTTGCATAATCTAAGGTTTAATTCAATACTTGAAAGTGGGAATGAAGCTGCACGGAGCGGCCATGATAAGGAGACGAGACTGGCAGGTAGCACGGGGCAGCCTGTACTCCTCGTCCCTCTTGCACTCCCCGGGCCTCCATCTATTTAGTGCAACTGTGCATTCCATTTACCGGTGTCTAGAGGTGCGATGTGAGACCATGGGCATATAAACCATAAAGTAGCGAATGTCCTCAACAACAAGCAAGCCCCGATAGCTCAGCGGTAGAGCGTTTCAACTGCAAAGTTGTAGAAAACGGCAAGTGCCTTGGAAAGGTCGCCAGTTCAACTCTGGCTTGGGGCAATTCCTTTTTTTTACTGTTCAATTCTCTTGCTGCTCATCTCTTCGACTGCGCAAACGGCGCAACTGGTTGCCGGGGTGATGTCCTGTTAGAGTGCCGCATAATCGTCGGTACTTGATTTACTTGCAAAAGCCCATCTTAGTACAAGTACCGGCATCATATTTTGACTGGACGGGCTTCTTTCACGCAACGAAAGCCTTCGAAGGCGTTCGACGTGGAAACACCCTGTGTCTGGACTGTCTGCTGGCCTGGGCTTATGTTTAGGATAAGACGAGGTGGGTAGCCCACGGTAAAAATGGAGGACAGAAGGCACGGCTCAGAAACAATAAAAGGGGGGGAGGAAGGAGTGCAGTTGTACGGTGAAGAGAATTTACCTAGGTTGATGGGGACTGGTAGGAGGGAATCGGGATAAACAGCAGGCGTACAAGACAGTTGGCGACACTTTGGTAAGTTTCTCACCGCTTGTTGCCCTTTCCACATGTAAGAAAATATATGAAAACCATAAAATAAATCGCCTATTTAAATACTTTCTCGACAATAAACAGCCCATATGAATCAGGGCCGCCTGCAAACGTTAAGGTTGTCGAATGTCGTCACGCACGCTTGATGGCCCCACTATGGCTTACACGCTGTCGATTCCCACCAAGCGCCGTTCCGAGGTCCGTCGGCTGCTGAGTAATATGTCCTCGCTCCGAGCCTAGCCGTCGCAGCCCCGCTCGCAGCCGACGCCGTTGCGCCGAAACCAACCCTCGACGTCAGCCTCTCCCTCGTCTCCCGCCACAGCTGACGGCCGGCTCAACCTCCTTCCTAACGGAATCGACGCAAAGCCGGCCTCACGCAATCCTCTTCTCTGCTGCCCCCTCACCATGATGCGGAGACTGGCAACACGAGCCCCCGGGCGAGTCCTCTCATCCACGGCCGCCTCACGAGCCCCGGCCTGCATCGCCTCCTCCGCATCAGCCCCCTCCCCGACCTTTGGCAGCTTGCGCAGCAATCTCACATCCGCCCGCACCGTGTCGTCGTCCGCCGCCATGGCCGCGCCTAACAACCCCTTCTACCACGCCACCCCGCCCGCCGACTCCTTCCAGCTGCTGCCCGAGTCGCAAAAGGCCGGCGAGGCAGAGGACGCCCTGTACGAGGCTCAGATCAAGGAGGTCGAGGCTTGGTGGTCGTCGCCCCGGTTCGCCGGCATCAAGCGGCCCTACAGCGCGGCCGATGTCGTCTCCAAGCGCGGCACCCAGAACATCTCGTATCCGAGCTCAGTCATGGCCACCAAGCTCTTCAACCTGATCCGCGAGCGCCAGTCCAGGGGCGAGCCCATCCACACCCGTGAGTTCATCCACCCGGCTTCCCCCTTCTTTCTGGCTCTAACCCCACCAGTCGGCGCCATCGACCCCGTCCAAATGACACAGCAGGCCCCCCATCAGGAAGTCCTCTACATCTCCGGCTGGGCATGCTCCTCGCTCCTCACCTCCACCAACGAGGTCTCGCCCGACTTTGGCGACTACCCCTATAACACGGTCCCCAACCAGGTCCAGCGCCTGGCCAAGGCACAGTCGATGCACGACCGCAAGCAGTGGGACGCGCGCCGCAAGCTCTCGGCCGACGAGCGTGCAAAGACACCCTACGTCGACTATCTGCGTCCCATCGTTGCCGACGGCGACACGGGCCACGGCGGCCTCTCGGCCGTGCTCAAGCTGGCCAAGCTGTTTGCGGAGAACGGCGCGGCGGCCGTCCACTTCGAGGACCAACTGCACGGCGGCAAAAAGTGCGGCCACCTCGCGGGCAAGGTGCTGGTGCCGACGGGCGAGCACATCAACCGCCTCAACGCCGCGCGCTTCCAGTGGGACGTCATGGGCTGCGAGAACCTCGTCATTGCCCGCACCGACTCCGAGTCGGGCAAGCTGCTATCCTCGGCCATTGACGTGCGCGACCACGAATTCATCCTCGGCGTCGCTGATCCGGCTATCGAGCCCCTTGCCGAGGCCATGCAGGCCATGGAGGCCCGCGGTGCGTCGGGCGCCGACATTGACGCCTTTGAGGCCAAGTGGGTTGCCGGCACCCGGCTCATCACCTTTGACGAGGCCGCCGAGGCGCACATGCGCAGCCAGGGCGTCGGCCAGGACAAAGTCGAAGAGTACCGCGCCGCCACGGCCGCCGACCGCGACATGGGCATCACGCGGCGCCGCGCGCTGGCCGCCCACTACGCCGGGTCGCCAGTCTACTTCAATTGGGACGTGCCGCGCACGCGCGAGGGTTACTACCACTTCCGCGCGGGCATGGCGGCCGCCACCAAGCGCGCGCTCGCCTTTGCGCCCTACGCTGACCTGCTCTGGGTCGAGACGGGCGACCCATCGGTCGATGTGGCCACACGCCTGGGCCGCGCCGTGCGCGACGCTCACCCGGCCAAGGGCCTCGTGTACAACCTGTCACCGTCGTTCAACTGGATGGCACACGGCTTCACGCCCGAGACGCTGCGCAGCTTCGTCTGGGACATTGCGCGCGAGGGCTTCGTGCTGCAGCTCGTCTCGCTCGCGGGGCTGCACTCGACGGCCGCCGCGTCGACGGAGCTGGCGCGCGCGTTCCGTGCCGACGGCATGAAGGCCTACGTCGACCTGGTGCAGCGCCGCGAGAAGGACCTCGGCTGCGAAGTGCTGACGCACCAGAAGTGGAGCGGCGCGAGCTACATTGACGGCATACTCGGGGCCATTCAGAGCGGCAGCTCGAGTAGTAAGAGCATGGGCAAGGGCAACACCGAGGGCCAGTTTGACTAGGGGCATTTTCGGTGCTCGGCGAATTTTGAATCGTAATTCCATATGCGCTATAGCATTCGGGCGGAGTTGACGGATTTTCTTGGTATTATTATGTCTCGGCTTGGTGAGTTTTTTACGTCTCCCAGCCAAGCAGCTGATGTAGTAGTATAAATCGCACGCATGGAGACAGTCCAGCGCATAGGAAACACAAGATCCTCGGCATCGTGCACTTGTTGCCAAGCACGCCGCAGCCACTCGTGTCCCTGAATCAGACGGACCCAAAGTCATGTTGCTGGTGATGGTTGTCTTCATTTCCCTCCTCTTGATCCTTGGACTGCGCCTTCTACTCGAGCGAGCTCTTGGGGGCGTTGTTCTGGGGCGCTGGCGCGGGGGGCCCCTCGGGGGTGACGTAGGCCTTGCTCAGGCCGCCGTCGACGACAAAATCGTGTCCGTTGACGAAGCTCGACTCGTCGCTGGCGAGGAAGACGACGGCGTGGGCCTGCTCGACGGCCTCTCCGAAGCGGCCGGTGGGAAAGTGCACCTCGCGGCGGTGACGCTTGGCGGCATCGTCGCCGAGCCAATCCTGGAGGAGCGGAGTGTTGAGGGGCGCAGGGCAGAGCGAGTTAAAGCGGAAACCCTCGCGGGCGTGGACCATGGCCAGCTCGCGGGTGAGGGCGAGGACGGCGCCCTTGGAGGCGGTGTAGGCGAGCTGCGGGGTGGCGGCACCCATGAGGGCGACAAACGAGGCCGTGTTGATGACGGAGCCGCGGCGCTTGGCGTGGCGGCGCAGAGCGAGGACGGCGTGCTTGCAGCCGAACCAGACGCCCTTGACGTTGATGCTCTGCGTCAGGTCCCAGATGGCCTCGGGGGTGTTGACGGCGTCGTCGTCCTTGGCATGCATGATGCCGGCGTTGTTAAACATGACGTCGAGGCCGCCCCAGGCGTCGACGCTCTCGACGAGGGCCTGGACCTCGCTTTCCTTGGAGACGTCGCACTTCTAGACGGCGGCGATGCGGCGTCAGTGACGGCCAAGAGGAAAGCGAGGACGGCTTGGGGATGGCGGCGCACCTTAATCTCAACCATGGCAGCCGAGGGGACGAGCTGCTTGACCTTTGCCTGGGCCTTCTCGAGGGCCTCGAGGGAAATGTCGGACATGAGGACGTTGGCGCCCTCCTTGGCGAAGAGGATGGACGTCTCGAGGCCGATGCCGCTGGCTGTGCGTCAGCAGGGGGATTCTCAAGGGCAGGCACGCCGCGATGGGCAGTTGGTCGGGTGCGATGGGAGAGCTTCGACTCACCCGGCGGCGCCCGTGATGACGGCGTTTTTGCCAGCGAGGCGGCCGGAGGAGGAGGGAGTCGAGGCCATTGCGGGAGAGGGAGGGTGAATCGCCGTGGAAGCCGGTGGGAGTGTCTGGGAGGTTTGCGTCTGAAGGAAGTTGGTAGAGACTTGGGACAAGGAGAGGATTGAGGCGATTGGAGCTTGGTCGAAGATGGAGGCCGATGGCAGGGAGGGGAGCTGGGAGGAGGGGCAGCAAGACGAGGAGGAGGGGTCAATGTCTTGGCGAGTCAGTCTGATGCCCAATGCATTCGGTACAGCGCGGAGACCTGTCGGTACGTACATGCGGCGCAAAGATAAGATGCTCCGATAATCTCAGCACAGGACAGGGCCAGGATGAAGAGGTACTGTGCTGTACCTGACGACGGCGGCAATTACGTGTGAGAAACACGTCCGGTACCCCAAAGTCCTTTTCTCCCTCCCATGCACCTCGGAGCAGCGATGTCTCTTACAGCTAGCCGGGGACGTTGGGCACAAGCACAAGGGAAAGGGAGGATTCCGGGAGGTTACAAACAGACCAGTCGTCGAACCAGACCCTCTGTCTCGGGATTACTTCTTGTAACGTATTCCCGGGGCCATTTCGAAACATCAACCATGGACAGGACTGTACGCCGGGTAATAGGCACGGGACTCGGGCGGCGGTTGGACGGGGCGGTCTCGGTGCGCGCCTGTCGGCCGCCAAGGCCCGCTTTCTCCACTCCGACCGCAATGCCTTGTTTCCCCGCCTTGGTTGCTTTTTGCCGAGTATTTGCACGGTACAATTGTCTACCGGTAACTAGGGCTCGTCTCTTGCCGTGTTGTGTTGGGTAGGTTGGGTAAGCCGGTGCAAGAGACATGCCGCGGCCGCCACCGTCATCGGCTCAGACTCGACGATGCCGGCCCCATGCCTCATTCGGACGGGCGGCTGCCGAGCATGTCCGCATCGGGCAATGCAACCCCATCTGTGCGATCCTTGTCGAGTCGAGGGGCCTCATTGGCAAAGCTGTTTTGCGCGCGGCCCAACTGCACTGCGGTAGCATCGGAGACGTGCATTGAGCCCAGGCTTGTTGAGGCATGCTCGAGAATGCATATCCGGAACGTGCAGACACCTTATATATACGCTTCATTGCCCTTGCAGATGGCCTTGGCTCGGGCCGGGGACTCATATGCGTAAGTCATGATTCAAGGTTATCACGGCAATATTCTGCCTACCTACCTTCAGTGTATACACAAACCCATCAGGGTCCTCGATATTCCCTCCGTGCATCAATGGTTCTGTCAGCGAGGGAATAGCCGCCGCCGCCGGCTCCGAGCCGAGCCAATTGGCTGCCCATTCCTGACAAGCATGGTCGAGCTTGTGCCTCCTGGTGCCCTTCTTGGCATTGCCGTTGAATGACGACCGTGCTTATGCCCAAAAGAGTACTCCGAAGTACCCCTGACCCCGGGGCCGCTTTGTGCGCCTAGCGTGTAGTACATTCGAGGTACCATACAGAGCAGGACAATCTCAGTTTTTCCCTTCCTTTTTGGCGTGTATATCTAGGCGTGCTGGAGACTTGAATGTACCAGCCCGTGACGCGCCCCCTCCATCCGCACCGCCATTTCGCCTCGGTGTCAACTTCACTCCAACTTCAACCTCATCCACCCCCTCCTCGACCCTCCGTCTTTGGCTTCACGTCCCCTCCCCCTCACTTCTCTCAACGGCCCCGCCAGTCTCCCACCATGGCGCCGCCCGCCGAAGACATCACCGTCGACGCCCTCCCCCGCCTCCTCGAGCACGACTCGCGCGTCAAGCTCGCCGGCATCGACGTCGACGGCATCCTGCGCGGCAAAATCGTGTCCAAGAAAAAGTTCCTCTCCGTCGCCCAGGCCGGCTTCGGCTTCTGCTCCGTCATCTTTGGCTGGGACATGCACGACCAGACCTACATGCGCGAGCTCAACGTGTCCAACGCCGCCAACGGCTACCGCGACATGCTCGCCATCCCGGACCTCGCCACCTTTCGTCGCATCCCCTGGGAGGCAAACGTGCCCTTTTTCCTCGTCAGCTTCTTCGACCCCGTCTCCCGCGAGCCCATTGCCGCCTGCCCCCGCGGCCTGCTCAAGTCCCAGACCGACCGCTTACAGGCCAGCGGCTTTCGCGCCATGGCCGGAGGTTTGTCTCTCTCTCTCTCTCTGTCCCATGCTGTCCGCTAATGCCCTGCAGCCGAGTACGAGTTCTACACCTTCCGCACCCCAGACTCCTCCTCGTCGTCCTCCTCCGACTCTCCAGCCGCCTTCCTCCAGCAGAACCCGCCCCATCTGCTCCCCTCGCTGACCGAGGGCATGTTTGGCTACTCGCTCACCCGCCCCGTCCATAACAAGGACTGGTACTACGACGTCTACGACACATGCTCCAGCTTCGCTTGCGATATCGAGGGCTGGCACACCGAGTCGGGTCCCGGCGTCTTCGAGGCCGCCCTCGAGTTCAACGAGGTAGCCGCCATGGCCGACCGCGCCAGTCTCTTCAAGTACGTCGTCAAGAGCGTCGGCGCCACCCACGGCGTCACCCCCTGTTTCATGGCAAAGCCCAAGGAAGGCCTGCCTGGCAACAGCGGCCACATGCACATCTCCATTGTCGACAAGGACGGCAACAACTTGCTGGCCCGCGACGGACTCGACGCCGACGCGCAGTACAAGGACATCGCCGGCCTGTCGGACCTCGGCCGCCATTTCCTCGCCGGCCTGCTCGAGGGCCTGCCCGACATCATGCCCATCCTCGCGCCCACAATCAACTCGTACAAGCGCCTCGTCGAAAACTTCTGGGCCCCCGTCACCGTCTCGTGGGGCTTTGAGCACCGCGCCGCCTCGATCCGCATCATCTCCCCGCCCACGTCAAAGGTGAGCGCCACGCGCCTCGAGGTCCGCGTCCCCGGCGCAGACTCCAACCCGCACTTTGTCCTCGCCGCCATCCTCGGCTGCGGCTGGCGCGGCGTCGAGAAGAAGCTCGCCATCCCCTGCCCGCCCCTCGCCATGGGCCAAGACGTCGGCGGCGACGCCGACCGCGGCGAGCGCCTCGCAAAGTCCCTCAAGGAGGCCACTGAGCGCTTCATACGCAAGGGAAGCATCGCCCGCGAGGTCTTTGGCGACGACTTTGTCGAACACTTTGGCGGGACGCGCGAGAATGAAGTGAGGCTGTTTGACGAGGCCGTGACAGACTGGTACGTTGCATATGCTCGACGAGCTTCTCCATGCTCGCTTCTCCGAACCCCACAAGACAGCTCTCCTGCCTTGTTGCTGTCAAGGTTCCCCATGCTTGCTTCCCAACCCCCGTATAATACCCCCCCGACCGGCACGGGTCAGACTCGACGCAACATGGGGCTGACGCTGCTTATCAGGGAGATGAAACGCTACATCGAGACCGTTTGAGCCGGAATGGCAGAGTATGGGGGAAGAGGAGGGAAAGGCATGCACGCATGTACAATGTACAGGCCAAGCGCACGCGCGCGCCAGCCTCAGACGTCCAAAGGATACCCACAATGTTGAACGCGTATTGATGCCATGGCGTCGCCCGCTTGAGGGGGTGTTTATAAACTGTCCATGGTCTGCGCTTGCAGTCCGCCCGCCCTCTCCCGTGTGGCCTGCATATCGACGCTCATCCCAGCCTCTGAGCCGCCTCATGAGGATCGGGGCGGCTCAGAAGGCAAACATGGTCAGAGGGACTTTGAATGCATAGACTAAGAAGTATAGATGCGCGTTGCATGTATGCGCTGGAGGTAGGGCCCTCTCTCCTTGCGCGGTCCAGCAATCTTCAACACACACCTGTGTGTGATGGCGCGCGTTCGTCACCAGATCCCGGCCGTCCCCCTGTCCCGCCGAGCTGATTGAATCAATGCCTGAGGTAGCCCTGCCACCGAGGGCCCGGGCCAGCGAGAGGAACCCGCACAGCCGTCGGAGCTGGACTCCCTTCGATATCCAACTCACACCCCTTACCTTTTTATCTATTTTCCCTCAGCATCCCCCCCCCCCTTTCTTCTGTTCCTATTTATTGTGGCAAAGGCGAATTTCACCCCTCCAGGGGACTGAGGACAGGCCTACATTGGGCTTCAGGTATGTACGCGCATACAGAGAATGTACAGTACGTGCTACCCGTAGGCCGATCTTCCTAGAGAGCAGACTAGGCGCCGCTTCTGAGGGACAAGCCTACGGGAATGTGCATCGCAAGCATGTAAGTTTGTATTCGTGCCGTGGCAGCAGCTACTTAGCCTAACCTGCGTCTTATACACATCTCCGGCCTCGACTCCAGCCCCGGATAGAACGCGCGTGCACCAACCCCCAATGCCGAGGCCCTGATCCATGTACCAGGCCCTAAGCCTTCATCGTACCAATGAGGCGGAACCCCAGGGGTCCATGCGGAGGGCTCACCTTGCCGGTGGCGGCGTCCGGAGCCGGGGCCGGGATGGGCTTCTTCCGCTCAAAGGCCGCCTCGCGAGAGCCGCCGCCCGGGACACTACCGTTGGCGCCCCCGTCAGGTGGGGAGTCCAAAAGGAACTTGCCCGTCCAGCCCACGGCCGCGCCGTTCTTGTCCATGAACTCGACGGCCCACTGCTCCAGCGTCTTTTCCTTGTACTTGGCCAGGCTGGCCTTGGTGCCGGCAAGGCGCGGCTCTCCGTGGCTGGCGCTCAAGCTGTCAAAGGTCGAGTTGTACTCGTCGTTGATGACCCACGCATGCATGTACTCGGGGAACTCTGCCTGGAACGCCTCTACATTTTTGAACCTTTGGATCTCATCGCGGTCAAACCCGCGGCCGGTTATATTTTTCAGCATGGGCATCCAAGCCTCAATCTGGTCCCAACGCACGCCTCCCAGGGCGGCGAACTCGTTCTCGGTCGCGTACTTCAAGACAACTCCAGACGCGTCGAGGTCGATCATGTTGGGCGTGGGGCGCACGCGGTAGACGTAGGCGCGCTTGCCCGAGCCTACAGCGTATCCAAGGGCGACGCTGAACCAGCTCGTGGTGGAGACGTAGGCATCGGCGAACTTTGCCTTGCCCTCGTGATGCGCCTGCAGGCTGTACGACCGGTTGCCGTGGCGCGCGCCGTGCTTCTTGGGCGCGATGCCGCCCCGGCGTCGGAACTCTTCGGGCGGCCTCGGGTCGCCGCGGTAGACGATCGTGGGGAGAGGCGGCTGCGCCCGGGCCGCCAGGCACTCCTTGGCGTCCTGGTACGGATATGTGCCCTTTGGATACCACCAGTTCACCCAGGTTGTGCAGAATAGCTTGGTGCCGCAGGCCTGCTCGGTCACGGCGATCTCGCATGTGTGCCACGACAGGCCGGGCTCGATCCAGGCGAGGAGGGTTGCCTCCGGCGAGGCGGCGGACATCGGCGCCGTCCTGTTAGGGATCGGCGCCGTCTTGTTAGGAGACGGGACTTGCACGGAATCATTTCGCCTTTCCAGGGCCGTGGCAAGCGCAAGGCCCGCGAATACGGCAAAGGCCATCGAGCCTATCATGGCTGCTTACTGGACGCGAACAAGGAGGAATGACGATGTGCTTTGGGATTTTGACCAGCACGGGACGGCATGTATTAGAGAGTAGTGACTGGCATGGATCGTTTGGCTCAAGACCGCCGGGACATCACTCGAGTCATATACCGAGCTCTGCTCGTGTTACTTTGGCACCGTGATTTGAGTCTTGACTGTCGTTGTCATGCTTGGGCACAGCGGTGGAGCGCGATGCATATTTCCATATATGGGCAGTTTACCCGCTTTTGATTTAGCTGACGTGACGGCATGTTCGTCGACGTTGGCCTGTTTCATAGTTTGGATGCCGAAAGCCAACATTTCGCTTGTGAATACAAGGCACGCACCCGCTTCATGACATGTAAAGGCGAAGCTTGGGGCTGCAATAGTTATCCTTGAATCCAAGGCTACTTTCCTCGAGGTAAGGTAATGGGTTAACTAGGCGGACAACCGCCTTAGCGGCCTTACACTCAAGCACTGCATGTCTGCCCGAATTCACATCACGGCCAAGCCATGCAGAAAACAGGCATCCAGCCCCCTAATAAAGCCGGGTCGAGAATCTCCACGCTCCGGTGGTGCCTGGGGACCTTAAAGGCGCGACTGCGGGGAATCGGAGCATACCGTGTGTCCATAGGCTGATGGACGAGGGGGTTATCGAGTAGTTGATATTGCACAGCTAATTACAGATGCCCTTAGACGGGCTATGCCGTCCAATGGTTGGACCGTCGAATGCGGTCCGCGGTGGTCGAAAGTCGAGACAGATGGTTCCGCTGGTGCTCACTCGAGTGTTTTCTCCAGCCATGGACCCACGGACATTCGGACATGGTCTTGACAAGACACTTAATCATCACCATTATGTTTCTTTGCCGGCGTCTGGAAGTATCCGCCTGTTTCGCCTGATGCCAAATACAGACGATAATGGCTGTATACGATGCCGGTCTTCGACTACCCTCTCACGCAGCCGGGTCAAGGGCATATCTGCACGAGGCCTTGTCCCATTCCAGGGACGATGCGGATCATTCGGGCTCATCTCCGTAGACGGGCGTGACTTGCCCGCCACAGCAAACCTTTGCGCGGCACTGTTACGAGACGGACTCAATGACCCAGTCATGTGGGCAGCTGCCACCTGTATCAACCAAGAAGACGTAATGAAAAGGGAAACCGGGTTCGGTACATGACCGAGATATATACATCAAGGCAAGCCGTATCATTATCGGGCCCGGAAAGGCGGAAAACGACGGCAGCCGAGCGCTCGAAGAGATACGCCTTGCCGCGGCCAGCATGTCGGCCGGATCCTTGGCACTGCCCTCAGCGATCGTGGTTTGAGCGCATCTGGGTACGGGAGCACGCACTCGACAGCACCGGTTTCGTCAGCGACGCGGCTGAACCAGGTGCTTCAAGAGGTTGCCGCTCGTCCCTACATCGCGATCAATCGCGGAGCTGCCGAGAGCGATGGCCACGCATTCCACACGGCTCTGACCTCGAACCCTCTCGGTATCCTTTACGCAGCTTGTCCAGACTTGCAGAGCCCGGGGCGGCCGGCAATCTCCCTCATCGGTGGAGCAGCATTGCGGCCGGAGACTGTTCCGAACGCGCCCGGCGGCTTATCCTTGCGCATCCGTCCCCTGGGAGAGCTGGCTGCCAGGCACTACACCCACACGGCCAGCAAGCGCCACGGCAGGGTGTCTCCCCTGGTGAGCACGAGCTCCGATGATCCGATGGCGGGCGGCATATCGCCCAACTATTAACTCCTTTAGGGAGATTCCTAGGGATCTTTGCCCGGTTTCTAGGTGTCTGTAAGGACCTGGGACAGGGTGAGGATGACGGCAATCGAAGGCCAGGGATACGTTCTTGGAAGGTCTCCTCAGTGAGAGGTGCTCATCGGAGCGACAGGCAAGAAGCCGTCGTCATTTCTAAGCATGCGTTGGGATACTCAGGACTTGAGAAGAAATGTATTCCCCCACGCTTGACAGAATGCGTCCAAGAGGTGACGCTGCTGCTTGTTACACGGGGCTTCAAAGCCTACCATTGTCAGACCGCACAAGGATTACTTTGTTCATCATTGCTGTCACCACTTCTCTGCAGCTAGAGCAGGCGGTAAACTGCTTCCCGTATGACTTGCTCCTCATCTGAAACCAAGACAGTTCCTAACAAAGCTCCAAGGCCAAACAGAGCTAGAAACGCCACGAAAGCTCAAGTAGCCGAGCTTGCGGGTGGCCAGCCAGGACGTCAGTCAGGCAAAGTGACGAGATTGTACAGCGTAGCGCAGGTATTAGAAAACGCCCAAGTCGGCGACAAGGCACGGGAAAGGCCTAGAGAAGTCCTCGAGGCCTAGTACAGTTAAGAAAGCTGCTTGAGCAGCCCGAGGGCGCCGACAATCTCGGCGGATTGCAGTTGTCCCATGTCCCCAGGCGTAACAAATGGGTGGTCGGGCTTCTATTCGATCAGCGAAGTTTGTCGCCCCTGCCATCTCACCCCTTTGTCCCCCCTTTGTCCTCACGCTCTTCTTTCAGTGCGAGCTCACACGATGGTGGGTGGAAACAGGAGCCACCCAGTTAGGCTCCGGCTTCTACGTCAACATTGCCGACGCCAAAAGTACGTTTACCCTAACGGCCAGCCGCACCCTCGAGGATCCACACGAAAGGAGAGATATTGCGGACCCTAGGAATTCTCCAACCACGCACAATGAAACGACTCCCACCGGGCTGAGCGAGCTTGAAACCGTCATCTCGGCCGCTCATGAAGAGGACCCCGAGCTACAGCAACGCGGACAATGACTATGGATCGATCCCGGTTCCCAATGAGGTCAACGCCTGCCCTCCTCGCGGGTTTAGGTTCGCTCTAAAGCTCGCGCACGATGACCTTCGTGCAAAGACTAACATGTCAGCGGCTACGGGGAGCGCTCCGGGCCAAGCAGCTGATGGCGAGCATAAGACGGTGCGTCTGTTGCGTGGAAAGCAAACTGGATATGACGTGGTCACGGGCTCGGGCCTGAGCGGGTCGCCCGTGTTTATGACATACAGAGGCCACGAAACGGTCGTTTCCATCCAGTGGGACCTCATCGTCGTATTGTGGCCTTCGAACCCGAGTCCTGACAGTGGCTCTCAGGAAAAAGTCCTCGAAATAGCTGCCACTAGCACCAAAGCGAACAGACAGAACAGTCAAGGAAGCGGGTGCGTTTCAGGTAGTCTGCAGTTCATCGACTTCCGGGGCTCATAAGGTGAGCTCGTACAGAGCTCCGGCTCCGAGGGGATGGGTCGGACCACGGGAAAATCCCGTTTTAGGCTGCTCACGGGGGTTTCATTGGCGGCTGACAAGATGGTTTAGTTTCAAGACTTTTGCTTCCAAAGAGTCAACGTCAGATGGGGAGTTGGTCCAGGAACGTCCAGCTGAAATGATGCTCATTGCGCTGGCTAACATGAACTGTGTCTCTAATGTAAACGGCCAACGCAAAGACGGCGAGCCGATCTCACCCCTGTCCTACGCAAGATCGTGTTCCGTGCTGGTGGTGTGCCAGGTGTGGAAAACACGTATGTACGAGGCAGCCCAATCGAGCGCCATCTCGTGTATGTATCACATCTGTCTCCCGTCCATCCATCCCGACGCATCTACATGGTGATGCCTTCGATTGGCTCGAGAGTGCGTGTGTGTGCTTACGCGTGCGTACGTCCCCGTATGCACAGCACGCCACGAGACGCCCACTTCCCTTCTTCGTCATCCCCGCCTCTTTTCCACAACTGAAACCCTTCCTCCACGGTGGTGAACTTGCAACTGTAGAAGAAAATATGAAGCCTGTGCTGTGCACTGCATCTCGCATCACGCGCCGAGATACGCAAGCACAGAAGGTATGTCTCGCCTCCTCCCTTTCACTCTCTTCACCTGACCTCCACCCCTCCCCCTCCCCCCGCCTCTCCCATCCTTCATCTGCCCCAGCTGACGACTCGCTTCCAGGGTGCGCGGCGTGTGCGGGTGATGGGCGATGGGTGGTTGAAAAGGGGATGGGACGGCCAAAGAGGACCATGGATGGGCCTTGTCCCACAGGCTGAGAGTCCGGGATCCGCAAACCCTGCGACGGCTGGCTGTACTTACGCGGCGCAGTCAATCAATGTGCGGCCTAGCAGCTCAAGACCAAGGTTCTGACGACGGCGCGCGGATAAGGAACATGTACTGAAGGGGGCGGCCGAGGTCGCGCAGCTGTTAACGTGGACACAAGCCCTCCCCTCCCCTTGGCCTTTCAAGGCCTGCGGGTGATCGACCGACTAGCTGCTCTAGCGCCCCGGTCTGGATCTCAACATCGCTGTGCCCGGCTCTAGTTGCTTGCCTGCCGAAGTGAAAATGCCTCGCACGAACCCCTCTCGACCGGTCTGCTGGGATGCCCGAGGCCACGCCGTTTCCCAGATATCCCAAGAGTCGCCGTGTGCTGCCCTCATTGCTTCTTGGGTAACCATGGAAGAAAAACCCTAGCTTTGTGTAGCTCCGTTAATAGTCGGCGCCTGCGTGACGCTTCCCTCCTTTTGTTCAGATTTGCTGCTCCTTGCCATGGCCTTCACTTGAAATCAGTGGTGCCCAAGAGCCAGGATGGATTGATGAGAAACAACGACGACGATCGTGGTCGCCAGCCGATGCCTAAACGCCGATGCTGTAGGGTAATCATCCTCCGTCCCTCCATACATGCGCTCATGACGTCTTGTGTTTTCTTTCCTTTTCCCGTTGACAACATTGATAACACCCCGTCCATGAATCCGACCCATCAACGCGCGCCAATGCCGCAAGAGAATAAAAATGACACGGAAAAAAGGAAGTTTTTGCCCCAATCTTCATCCGGGCCACATGCCATCGGCCCTGTGTTGAGATGCCTCCGTCTGCTGAGAAAGCATCGTCATTGGATGCAACCTGTCGCAAGCCAGGGCCGCTCAACAACTAAAAGTCTCGCTCCTTCTTTCCCCTTTTCTTCCCCGCGGCTCGCCCGTCCACGTTTTCTTCCTCGGGACTCCATTCCTCGGGGTGGAAATCTGGGTTCCCGTAGTGTGCCCTGTTCCAGACGCTATTCTTGAATGTGGTAGTCTTGACTTGAAAGGTCGATTCCCGAAAGGCGTTTTTGGATTCGTCATAATCCAGCTGCACCGGACTGAATCTGATGGGGTATCCGGCCGTCGATACCCCTCCGGCCGTCTGAACAAGAGGGGACCGCTTTGGCCCATCCATGCCTAAGCCACTGGCCGTCAAGGACGACGACATGGGGCCCAACGAGCCAGAGGGCGTCGGAGACTGGGCCGGTGCCGCGACTGACGTCTGCCGTGAGTGCGTTTGTTCTGTTGGTGTTCCCACGTCGTCGGCAAACGCAGGAGGCCACGAGCTCTGCTGCGTCGGCGAAAACGGCTCGCCCCCGATAGTGCGGGCGGCCGTCGGTGGTAGGGACAGCGACGATATGCTCGAGACGCCGGTGAGACCGGGAATCATGGGTAGGGCCTCGTAATCCATGGTCGAGTAGGCACCTAAGGTGGAGCTGGTGCCCGCAATGCGCACGTTGTGGGATAGGCTCGAGAGGCGCTGGACCAGCAGATCGGGGGATACCGGTGTGCGGTAGAGGATGTCGTAATGATCTGGACGATAGAGCAGGTAGATGGTGGGACCGGCGAGGGACGTTTCTTTGGCACCTGTTTCGTCGGTAAAGCGGTGATGGTTGACCTGGCTGCCGGGGCTGCGGTCGAGGTAGGCGATCTCGAGGACAAAGTCGACTGGGGTGAGCAGGACGTTGACGAGGGCGACGATGCCGAGATGCTCGATCTCGCGGTTGGGCAACTCGATGGTCTGGCTGCAGTAGGAGAGGATGTTCTGACCATCGGGCACAAAAGGATCGTAGGTCGAGGCGTTGGCCTTGAGGTAGGTGGCGGCCAGCAAGCGCAGGTAGTAGATGAGACCACCCTCGACCGAGGCATCGTTCCAGCGCTGCAGCAGCAAGGTGTAGGCCACGTCGGGGGTTTCGAGGTTGAGGGCCAGCTCGCGCAGAAGGCCAGTCATTTCGTCGGCCCAATCCTCAAAGTAGGTGTAACCGCCGACAGTGGAAAGCCGGTGGTTGAGGCTCATGATGCGCGCCACCTCGCCCTCGATTTTGCCCTGGTCGCCCGAGTCGATGAGCTTCTCAAAGTACGAGAAGCCAATGGCTGCGGCGACTGGTCAATATGCGTGTACTTGGAAAGGCCGGAGGCGCGGCGCCCATTGGCCGGCGCAGGAACCGCCTTGGGCAGGCATTTGGGGGAGATGGGTTAAGTTTTGCGACGCGGGCCAAAGGGAAAGAATCGACGCACCTCGCCAGCCGCAGTTGCCATCGCCCTGGATTGGCCGGTAGTGCGAGTAAGTCCGGGGAAGGGCCTGAGAGGAGCAAGGGTCAGCAGCGTCGCAATGAACGTCAGCACCTCCTCTGTGCCGGGTCCGGCATCTCATCATGGTGGCGTTCTGCAGGCCGACTTTGCCAACCAAGTCCAATGAGAGGGGTCGAGAGAGAGGCACGTACCACGGTCTTCTCGACGTAGACTTGGTCGGCTTTGGCATACTCGCGGGCGATGTTGCTGCTGGGCGTCTTGTCGCCGACCAGAGGGCCCTGGACGGGTCAGCGTGGGCAGAGATGAATGTGGCGAGGGGGAGGAGGCTTACCTCGAGGACGGGCTGGTAGTCCTTGGCGGCCTCTTGCTGGGCGGCCATGTCGTGCTGGTCGTCCATGGCGGCTGCGACTGCGGCGGCGGCGGCGGCGGCGGCGGCGGCGGAGCTGTAGGAGTGCTGCTGCTGCTGCTGCTGCTGCTGCTGCTGCTGCTGCCGCGGCCGATGCGGATGCGGATGCGGATGCGGGTGTTGGGGGTGGAAGTGGAGGTGGTGAGGCTGCTGGGGATGATGATGCGCGGTGAGGTGTTGCGGGTGCGATTGAGCCGGCGTCGACGGGATGGAGTTGCTGCTGTTGCCACTGCCATACAGGTAGCGCACGCTGCTCAGGTCGCTGGCGGCGGGCCTGGGAGCCGCTATGGCTTCGCTTCTAGTGGGACTGGCTCTGGCTGGCGGCGGTATGCCAAAGCCTAGCGCGAGACCGACGCCATTGGGAGGCACGAAGCACGGCGAGGACGCAAAAGGCGTGGGATGAGGATGAAACATGCCTCGCGCGTGCTCCTCGGTGAATTGTCGACGCCCGTCGTTTGGCTGGAACTGCGCTGCCAGAGGCGGAGAAAGAGTGTGTCTTGCGTGAGAGGGAGGGAGAGGGGGTTTTGGGTGGGAAACAGCAACCCCCGGCAGGCACCTTCTGTGTCCCGCTGCTGCCAAGGTTACTCTTGCCTGCTTGCGTTGCTGGATAGTGCAGATGGCAGCTGCGGTCGGGTAGCTCTTGCTCTTTAGCTTGGCCTGGGTGTAAAAAAGAAATGGCGGAAGGTGGTGCGACTCGGCAGCCTATAACAGAAGGAAGCAGGCTGTTTGGCTCTTCCCCAAAGTCCCCAAGGTGGATGAAAAGACCGGACAGGGTAGGTAGCGCTTGCAGTTCCTCATCAGCTATCTTTGCGGCTGCTCTCTCTCGCTCCCTCTCTCTCTCTGCAACTTCAACACAGGCCGGGCGACCTCGTCCTTTTCTGTCGCCGCTCGACCCTTTTCCCTCGTCTTCGCTGTTCCCCGCTCCCCCTTCTCGTGTTCTCTCACCTTGCAAGGTTACTTTGTACACTTTGTTGTGCCGATATAGGTGGAATCCCAGGGCCAAGCCGTCAGATTAGCGAGCTTGGGCAGAAATAATAAGGAGCATATGCAAAGCAATATCTGAAGAATGCGGGAAAAGAGCGTCCAGGGGAATGGATGGGATAAAAAGCAACATGAAAAGAGTCGCATTGGCTGGCGAGCCGAAGTCAGCGCCGGAGACGTGGCCAGCGCCGGAGCTGAGATGGAGCTGATGGAGCTGGAGGCACCCGCTCATAGTCGACAGCAACGATTGATCCACTATCGAACCTGGGGCATCATGCGAGGGCACTCGCCGGGCGGCTGCCAGGGCAGGGGGCCGTTGATGAGCCGGGGCCTGGGTTTGTAAGCCTGCAATATGTGGCAAGTCAAGATCTCTGATGCTTGCGGCTGGCTGGCTGCCCCCCCTCCCCCCTTGATGCATGTGTCGATTTGACAAGCGAGCCTTGATGACAAGCAGACCGATCGGCAGTGTACAGGAGGGGGGAGCACCAGGCCCTTGGGCAAGGAAGGGCCCTTTGCTCCCCGTTTTCTCGAATCCGAGACCCAAGACGTGGCGTTCCTCTGCGTGGCGTCATGTACATATGACTGTCCTCCCAGGACCCCGGCACGGCACGGGACAGGGCGGGACAGGCCAGAGCAACTCGGTTCAGGGACCGCAAGTGGCCTTCACTTCCCTGGCTCGCAGTGACGGGCGAGCGGGGCCCGAAGATACGCGGACATGACGGGCTCGGAAGGACACAAGGAAAGAGAAAGAGCGCGAGAGAAAGAGGGGGGGAGACAAGGGGAAAGAGAAAGATAGTCTGTGTTACGGTAAGAAACAAGCAGGGCCTGGAGCGAGGGTACGGATGGAGTCTCCCTCCCCATAAAAACGCACGACAGACACATGAGCGGCAAAGTATTGGCCCAATTTCGGATGGAGTCGAGAGGCAGAGAGCGAGAGCACGCTGCATACTATTACTCATGGGCACATGCATACATCCGGCATCCGGGCTGTCCTCTCAACTGTAACAGCGAATACTATCGAGCGCTCCTCGATCCCGGAGCGCCGCGTGCCTCGAGCGCACTGCATGTGCGGGCGCACCTGGAAAGACATGGCACCTTTTACAGACGACATGTATGTATGTGTGAGCCCGGAGAGCACACATCATCAAGCCAATATGTGCCCCGTCTTGGCCGTTGCAAGCTACACATGTAAGTCGTCCCGGTGGAGATGGGGTGGGTATGATGCGTGCAAGTACACCTGATGTGGCCTTCGTCAACGCTCCGTCTACCGCTTGCCCGGCCGGCACGTCCCGTTCATTTCCCCCTCCTCCCTCCCCCTTCCCCTGACGTGCTTGAAGTCGTCGGCTCCCGCCACGAGACCAAGACGATGCGGACGGCCGGAAAGACGGACACTCGACCGGCCAACGGCATCAAGGTGGAATTAACCATCCGCCGCGGTGCTTATTGCATGCAATACATATCATACATGTAGCAAGGGCAATGACGCACGAGCAGCTTGCTGCCATGGCCGGCTCACACCCACCCCTTGGGAACGGTATGCACGAACCCGAGCCGCCCTCAGCCGTGTGCGCCCTTGTGCTTGTGCGTGCGTGCGTGTCTTCGGCAGCGAAGAGGTTGAGGAACAACCGCCTACCCCGCCCCATCAATACATGTAGGCAGACTACTCTGTGTGTGATGGATACGTGGGAGCATGTGCCTACATGCGGGTTCCTCACTCACTGTGACTTGATCTACCATGCCCATGCCCGGTTCAAAGACGAAGAGGAGGCGGGGAGGCTAAAGAGAACTAAATCTTGGAGAAACGAGAATGAAGGGGGACAGATGAGTTGGGTATCTAGGTTGCAACTTGCCGGGATACGTGCAGTTGATGACCAGGAACATCAAGCAAGCTGGAATCCCCGGACAAGGATGGTTGGGCTTGGTAGAGCCGACTCTTGGCTCCGTCAGCCTCCGATTGATTCATTGTTTGCTGGTCCAGTCAGCAGCAGCAGTAGCGGTCCGCCGGAGCGGTGCGCAACGGCCCTCGCCCTCGCCCTCCCCCCTCCTTTCTCCCCCTCCCCCCTGGTCGAAGACTGGGCGTCCTCTCATAACACAAGACGGATGCATCGACAGCGTCGCGCCGGACCGGACTTGCCAGCTGCGGCCGTTGCTGGCTAGCTTCCCGGACAAGTCACGAGTCTCGGGTCACACACCCGCGCAAACAAGGCAAGACATGTGTATAGCAGCCGGTGGTGTTGGCCAGTTACCACCGAGCCTTCACTGCTAACCCAGCCAGGGGGCCCTTTAGGGTAGATGGCATGCAGCTGAGATACACGACACTAAACATACACGAATAGATCTTGGCCTTCTAGCCGAGACATGGCAAAAGGCATGCACTCTATTTCAGTGCCAGGGACTTTTACATGTCCGGAGCCCTTCGACACATTCATCCATTCGGGTTTGTATGAAACAGGCCTATGAAAAGCGGCCAACTGATTCACGCTGAATGTTCATCCTTGTCTTTGGAGTGTTGCCACAGAACAACAAGCAACATCGCAGCAGGCCAGATATCCTGTTCTGAACCGTTGCCATACAAGAAACACCCCAAACGTCCATCACTCCGTTTAAGTTGTTGCTATCCGTCTCGGTGCTTTGCGTTTATTGCAACGAGTCTATTGCCATGTCGCCGAGGTGCCCAAGCATCTCCCTCCTCGCTAGCATCACCACGCTGTCCTCGCGATCCAGTAAAACCTTCGCGTTGCGACCCTGGTCTCAACTCCGTCGTCCGCTGCCACCAGTTACTCGCCCCGACGCCGACAAGTTAGTCGAGCCCCTTCGAGCCCAGACTCAAGCCCAGTGCATCATCGCCAAAGCAAGCATACATGCTAAGGCCCCAGACCGCCAGCTACCTTCATCCGGACTAGGGCGGTTGATGCCGATCCGGAGAGCATCCATCAGCCGCTCCTGCACGATGGAGAGATCCTTGTCGCGCGACAGGTGATCAGGGCAGGGTGCGAGTGGTTTCGACGTCGATCACAGAGCATGGGAGATTTGGCTTGTGGCGGCACTGAGTCTTGGGTCGGGTTCTCGGCTTCATGGTTGTGCATGTCCGGCATAGACGGCCGTCGAGCTTCCCCAGCAGCTGATGAGGAAGAAGTCTAGACTATCATCCCAGGCTTCCTCCTGCAGATTCCGAGATTCTCGGATCTCGGGGCTAGCCTCCTCGTCGTATTGAAAGCACCGGCAGCATAAGCGTGTCGTCATTTGCCATCGTGTTGGCTCTACTTTGGCCAACTACATTCGTCTTCGGCCCTTATTTTTCAGCATCTTCTCCTTGAAATGAACGGATTCATGGAGAAAGCAGGTCTCGAGGGCCACGCAGCGATGGCGATGGCGCAAGCTGCACCTCTCGCCTCACGTCCGCCAGACCTGCAACGTTGCGCCCATGGCTTTAGGACTCGGGCTCCAAACAAAGTTCTGATCCGCGGACGAGTTGCCGGCAGAGCGGCGACGATCCTTCCGCCATGCTGTGCGCCATGCATGTGGCGAAATGCTTCAGCCATCTTCAGTTCTGGGCCGGCAACAGGCGGTGCTGCACATGTGCGCTGGCTTGATGTATCCCTGCCGGTGATACTCAGCCAAAGTCTCCGTCTTTCTTCAAGCGCCCTTATGTCAGCTCCAGTCGACTTTGTAGACTTTCGGTTGCGAAGAGGGTATTGGTGAATTGTTGGAATGTCACGGTTTCCTTGGGTTGAGATCGGGACGGAGTTTTTGATCATGGCAGCCCAATGTCGACGCCACGAACACAGATGGCTTGCATCGTTTCGGCAAGGAAACTCGTGTTGGGAGAACGCAAGATGCTTTGACATGTGCCCAACGCCGAGGGAGTCGATTGCCGTCAGACTGGTGACCAAGAGGCTGGCGACCCCAAGCTCACCTCATATGGGAGGAACTTGATGGGAGAAAGTTCTCATCCATGTGACAAAGTAAGCACCACAGTAATCCATTACGCCGGCTTTGGCCTTGAAGAGTCCAGCAGACGATCTTACTGGGGCTATGACCCCTGAAGCCTAGCCAGCCGGCCAAAAGCTTGACTTGCATCAACAAACTTGGCCCACGAGATTCAGAAGCCCTCATTCTCGAAGAGGCATGCTATTGAATTCTGGGGCCTATGATACAGAAACACAACGTCGCAGTCGGAACTTACCGGCTTCGCTAGTAACGCCGCCCCAGACAATCTAAGTCGGGAAAATTCATATTCCTTGACAGGCAGTTTACGTGTCCGGCTGGCAGCACGCGTCCCATGTTCGAGTGTGACTCTGCGTCGCCTTACGGGACGTGTTGGACATGCATCAACCTTAGACGCTATAACAGTGCGCCCGCATTTAGCTACAGCAGTATCTGACAAGCATCTATTTGTTGATAGAACAGTCACGAATGTGAAGCTTCCCCCGTCTTACGCCTTCCATGCTTACAAGGGACTGGACAGTTACGGCGTGCTTATATGCAGTACTTGCTCTATGAAGTTATGAACTAAGTATCGGGATTTGAATTTCGTAAGGCGATCGAGAAGCCGGCTTTGGCATCATTTCATGGGGGACATGCAGCCCTCTCACGACAGGCACATGATTCTTATCGGGCTCTCTCGGCCACTGGCGGTCGCCCATTCTTCTCCGCTCATGTTGTTGATTTTGAGCGGGGCTGTATCCATCTACATCTCTTTCTCCTCGTACCTCGTTTCGACGCTGTGGGATTCATTGCCAAGAAGCACACCATCGCTACAGCCCCAAACATTCTTGTCTGCGTATCGATACTTGCCTGGACCTACAAGCTTCCCTAGGACTGAACCGAGGGGCAGCCCAGTGACACTCACCAAGAGATTCGACATTTCCCGTCATGCCTGACACGGACGCACAAACGCCCGAGGACATGGAGATTGAGAGGATGGAGAGGGCGATTGATGAATCAATCGTCTGGATCAACGAAAAGGAGTCGGTGATGCAAGAACTCGTAGCATACATCGAATCGCTCCCGGAGGACGCGAGGGAGCGCATATCGAGCAGCGCTTCTAGCTCGAAAAAGCGAAGGGGCATACGGGAGGATTCTAGGCGAATCGGGAATTGTCATTGTACAACAGGAGATTGGTCGAGATGAGAGAGGCCATCAGATTGCAATGGCTGAAGCTGGATGACTTGAAGGAGCAGAAACGAAGGTTACAGCAACAACAAGTCGCTAGTTCGACCTAGTTAGACCTAGTTTCCGTTCCAATTCGCGTCCCTTAGCTAACCACTCTCTAAGCTTTTGGGATTCCTCATCTTCGACGAACAAGCCGTTGTCTTTCAAGTACTGAGTATAGCGTTTAGAAATATCTATGCGCCGTTGTACTTCAATGGCGAGAGCCCCGTTTTCGTCATCTTTGAAAAACTTAGCAACCACCTTGTCACGGGGTTCCAGGAATAGTCCCGGATAGATGAAAGTGTAGAAGACATGAAGAAGACTAGAGGGATGACGAAGAATCTGGGCCATGGGCAAAGTAAGTTTCTGGTCAAAGTCCCAGTCGTGCAGCAGCTGCTCGTAGTCGCGAGAGGTTCCGCCCTTTGCGTGTAGAACGTCGCGGAATTCGGAAAACATGTCGAGCGAAATTCCGTGGATTGGTTCAAGAGCGTGGCCCGTGATCCACAACGGCGGTGTGAAGAACTGTCGGGGGACTGTGCTTGCCCACTCCCAGTCGATGACACCTCGGATACGGAAGTCGTCATCAATGATGATGTTGGCGCATCTCAGATCCGTGTGAGTCAGGACAAAGGGCCCATCATCCCACCGGGCGTCGACGACATTGGGGACCTGCTTCTCTAGGCTGTCGAGTGCGAATATTTCGAGCTCGGCCGTCTGACGAGATAGCTCCTCGGTGGGCAACCGGTATGTTTCTGACAGTACATTGCAGTTCTGATGAACAAGCTGTGTTGCAGAATTGAAGGTCGCTCGGGGAGCCCCTTTCCCCTGAATCTGGAGCTCGTTGATGGTTACGGAAAGGAAGTTGCCTACGACAGGCTCCGACCCGCCTTTGAAATTTGGCATCAACGAGCCCGCCACAGGAAACTCTAGCCTCCGTAGCTGCGCGAGGACGTCGATGAGGTCTGAATAGAAGTGATTTCGACGCTCCCGGGTGGCCTTGACAAGACTCTTCATATCTAGTGACCGGCCAGAGACCCAGTCAATAATGAGGAATGCCTGCGTCGCAGAGCCGCAGTTGATCATTCGGCTCCGTCCGTACGCATGGATACGGGGGACGGGAATTTTAGTATGACTCTCTATATACCTAGAAACCGAGCCAAGTCAGTCAATACGAGGAAACCAGGATACAGGAGCCACGTACCGCATTGTGGCAACCTCGCTCTGGAGCTTCTCCCAGACATTGTAGATCGCTGGCTCAATGGGAATCCTCACGACCCATTTGGTGCCAGTGGTGTAAAAATGGACAAAGAAACAAACGTTGAAGCTGCCCCGGGCCGAGTTGATGATGCGGCAGGGCTTTTGGTGGTTATAGCGAGACGCCAGGGCACAGACGGCGTCCCGGTCTATCGAGCTGATGAATTCCTCTTCCCTGGTCTTAAGTTGCTCTGAGGTGAGAGGAGGGGGAGGGTCTGCGACAAGGCGCAGGATTGCCCTCCATGCACGAGAAGCGCGGGCGATACATGACACCCAATGCCTCCGAATAAAGTGGAATACCACGAGTAGCATTCCCGGTCCGGCCGTGCTTGGTTTAACAGGGGCGTGCTGGGGGGAAACAGGACGCACGGAGGCTGATGGCGATGCAAAGGACAGCGGAATACGGTTTCGGATAAATATTGGCTAGGCCTGATCAGCCGACTAGTCACGTGAGTAGACTGCATACAATCTCACTAGTAGAACAAAGCTATGCCGGGGATACAGTTCTAGTTTATTCGTCTTGGATAGGACTAGACTTAAAAATACCTATAGGTATTTACTTATTATCGCGAAGCGTGGCCTGATTTCGCATTCTCGGAGATATCCCTTAGTAAGAGGGACCTAGGAAGCTAAAAACACCGGTATAGAAGAAGGAAGAAGGAGCTAAGAGGAGGAGCTAAAAGGAGCTATAGAGAGGAGGGTAGGGGTAAGAGGGGAAGTAGAAGTAGCGATAGCTTCCTATAGAGGTAGCGAGAGATAAGACGGATATACTAGCAACGGCTAGAATAAAGGGGAAAAAACCGGTAAAAAGCTCGGTAGTTAAAAGGATATTAATAGCTTCTTTAAGTAAGATCTTTTTTATTAATTAAGATACTAAACGGATATAAAAAGGGGCGTTAAATAAAAGAAAGAAGGATAATTAAGGTAATATAATAATTATTCCCTTACTATAATTACTACCTTTATATTAAGGGCTAGCGTATACTTAGCGTAGTAGTATAAAGCTAAATAATTATTTATTTAAAGCTAAGGAGAAGGAAGGAAAACTCTAACTAAGTCGTGCTAGTTATCTATCTTCCTTAGTCCCTAGCTTAACTTATATTTAAGTGCTATTTAGTATAAGTTTAGGTTAAGCTCTACTTATATATAGGTTTACTTTAGCCTAACTTTAGTATAGTCGCTATAGTATAGCCTTAGCTCTTTATAAGTATAGCTTATAATGCTACCCTTACCTTCCCTTTTTTATTAGTAGTACTCTTATTCCTCCTTTACTACCTTTCTATTATTACCCTCTCTTATTTCTTAGGTATACGCGGTTGCTTCCTTTTACCTTACGCTTACTTTATCCCTTTATATACCGCCCTTTTATATACCTATTCCGCCCTATTCCTCTCTCTTCCGCGTATATACCCTTATACTTTACTAACTATATATATGCCTTACCGCGTATAAAAACCCCTCTTCTTTCCCCTTTCCCTCTTCTTTTTTTCCCCTCCTTTTAGCTTTATTTCCTTTATACGCGCGCCCTTATTTTACCTAATTTCTATCTCCGCGCCGCGCTATATTATAATTACTATAGGCCCTTATACGCCCGCTAGCTTCTTTACTTCGCGTAGTAGCACCCCGCCTCTTAGTACGCTAAGCGACTATACTCTACCGCCCTTATACTAGTTAACGCGTCTATTAATATCTCTTAGTAAGTATAGCGCGACCTATAGTACTATTATACGGCGGCTACCTTATCTCGCCTATATAAGCTAAATAATACCGCTAAATATTAAGATATAGTATAGTACTTATTAAAACTAAGTATTATTACTTACTTATAATTACTTTACTTATACTTATACTAGATTATATTACCTCCCTATTAATTACTTTCTTTTAACTTTATTAAATAAGACGCTAATATAATAATAGTATACTAAAGATATAATTATTACTATTAATACCTTTTAAGACTATATATCTTAAAGGACGTTTAATAATTATTAAAGCGACTTTTATATATATACTTTATTTCCCTTTTAACTTTATCCTACTACTTATCTTTAACTATTATTTTAGTATACTAAGCTTACTTATATTATTATATTTATATACTAGGCCTAGATATAACTTAATATCTTAAAGTAATCGGGCGGTAGTTAAGGGGCGTTTATTTTTATAAAGAGAGATATAAAAAGTATATATAAAATATAAAAAGGTAAAATTAAAAGTAAGGGGTTAGATAGGTAGGGCAAAGATATTTAACTCTTATAAGGGTAGTAATTATAGTAAGGGAGTAATTATTATATTTCCTTAATTCTCTTTCTTTCCTCTATCTTATACCCTTCTTTATACCTATTTAGTATCTTAATTAATAAAGAAGATCCTACTTAAAGAAGCTATTAATATCCTCTTAACTACTATGCTTTTTTACTAGTTTTCCCCTTTTTTTCTAGCCGTTACCGGTATATCTATCTTATCTCTTACTACTTTTATAGGAAGCTATCGCTACTTTTACTTCCCCTTATACCCCTACCCTCTTCTATATACCTTCTTTTAGCTCCTTCTTTCTTTTTCTTTACTAGGTGTTTTTAGCTTCCTTAGTCCCTCTTACTAAGGGATATCTCTAAGAACTATAAAATTAAGCTATACTTCGCGATATACCCCCTTAGCTATAGCCTGCCCTTTTAGAAAGGGTAAAGCTAAATAATTAAGCTAGTAAGCGTATAAAGGAGGTCTTAGTCTATACTTATCCCTTACTTAAGAAATCCGGGTTTTAGCCTTAGGCTCTTTTAAACCTACTTTAGGAAAAGGGGCCTAAGGAGGAAATTAAGTCTTATAAGAAAGGGGGGCTTTTCTAAGGATAAGTCCTTAAAAAAGGGGCCTTTAAGAAGAATAAGTCTTAATTAAGCTAGGGACCCTCCTTTAAGATAAGTCCTAGTTCCTTTCTTTAGCTATAAACGTCTCCTTCCTTATATATACTATTAGCTCCTCTTATAGACTCTTAAGGCAGGCCTTTAAGGATAGCTTCTTATAGATATCTTCTAGCTTAATTTACTATAAAAAGATAGCTAGCTTTTACTTTAGTAAGGGCTTTATAAAAGCGTTTACTTTTATCGATACTATTAAAACTTAGTAGACCGAAATAAGTCCCTTTTAAACCTCTTAGCGTAACTAATACTAATAGATATCGATATACTATAGCTAGGTTAATAGCTTACTATTTTCCTTTATAAGAATCTATATAGTCTATATATTATCGTATTTTATAAATAGCGGGGTCGTAATTTATAGTTATAAAAATATAAGTAGCTAGCTTAGGAAAATCGCTTCTTTTAATACTTTTAAAAGAGCTAGTAGCTTTACTTCTATACTTAAAGTTATAATAGTAGCTTACTTTAAAACTCTTTAAGTAATAGTTCCTTTAAAAAGAGATATAGTATACCCCTATAAGCTCTTTCTATCTAAGGAATTATTTATAAAGGACGAATCGCAAAAATAAAGGAAGATTTTAGTAGCTAGTTTCCTTCCTTACCCTTTTAAGCGTAGACTATATAATCTTATTAAATAAAGATAAAGGATAGCTTAGTTTACTACTTCTTAGTGCTTAAGGCTAGGATTCTAGTTATACTTAGCTAGCTAGGAGACCGTAAAAGAGATATCTAGTTTAGTAGAAATAGCTAAAAAAAGTAGGGAGCCTACCTTTTATTAATATCGGTATTTCTCTTACTCCTTAGCTTAAAAGGACGAATTAAGTAAAAGCTCTTTATCTAATATAAGTATAAAGGGAAGCTTCTTATCGAGGGAATTAAGGAAGAATTTATAAGCGACCGTATTAATATAGGCGTCTTAGGTAAGCTAGATAGTCTATTAAGACTTATTTTAAAGGATTTAAATCCCTAGGAACTACTTTCGCTCCCTTAGCTTAGTTATCTTATACCTTTATTATAGGCCCTATATAGCCTCCCTAGTAATAGCTTCTTCCTCTTTTAAGTAAGCTTAGATAATATTATTAACGTAGAAGATAACTATAATTTTACTCTTTTATATTATATATAGTTCCTAAGGGACTTTCTTATAGTTAAAGGCTTTAAAGGAACCTATTAAATACTATTACTAAAGAAGGGGTAATCTTTATAGTTTATATAAAGCTTTCCTAAGCTATAGAACCTTTTCTAGCTATTAAAAGCTTAGTAGAAAGCGTATATAAATAACTTCTTCTTCCTTAAGTAAGTAGTTAATAAAGGCGTTAACGGTATTTATTTAATTAAGTTTAAGGTTAAATTCTAGTACTATAGCTATAAGGGTCTAAAAAGATATCCTTACTAAGGTAGTTACTTTAGTAAGTAAATCCCCTTTTCTATATTAATTCCTATAGATAACTAGCTAGGCCTTATACTTTTAAAGGAAGCTATATTTATTAGTCTTATAAATAAAGACCTACTTTAACGGGGACGAGGGTATATACCTAAAGCACGTATAGTATATAGCTAAGGATTAATAAAGTAATTAACTATATAATTATCTAATTATCGGTCCTATATATAGCTCTAAGGGTCTTAGGTTATTAATATAAGTCTTAGAGATTTCTTTACTCTATACCTCTTTATCTTTACTAGAGTTTATCTTTACTAAAGTTATATAGCTAGCGGCCTCTACTTTAAAGGGGAAAATTAAAAATTTAAATAAACTATAATTAAAGAAGGTACTTAATTAAATAATTTAAGCCTTTATAAAGCCTTTAAGTATACTTAAAAGGAAGTTAGATAGGGAGCGCTAAGGGTCTTATCCCTTTAACGGGCTAATATTTATAGGGGTATAATCTTACTTATTAAACTCTTTCTTAGCGACTTTCCGACCTAAGATACTAATAGAAAAAGCGCGATAATAATAGGTAAGGCTTTCTTCTTAAGTATATAAGTAAGTTAATAAACTATTAATAGAACTTTTCTCCTTTACTATAATCCCTTCCCTTTACGTTATTTATTCCTCCCTTTACCTATAAGCTACTTATTTAGCTCTTTCTTATCTTTACTTATATACTTCCTTCTTTAAATAATTATCTACTACCCCTTATATATACTCTTAAGTATTCGCGCTTATTATTCTTAAAAGCGTTAAGGAAATAAAGTAGTTAGTATCTTTACTAGTCTATAGCTTTAAGTATAGCCAGATTAAATAAGCTATAAAGTCTTATAGACTAATTATTATTATATTACTAGTAGTCTTATATAAATATATAGAATTATAGTCGTTAATATCTTAGTAGTAGTTTTAATATATTCTTAGGTTTTTAACTCCTTTAACCTAAGAGGGTTTAAAGC